AACATTGCCATATCTGGGAAATTCAATATTATTATTGCCTTACAAATTTAAAATGTACCGTTTCTATTATAAAGACATGAACAACATTTGTATCAGTGGAAGTTCAGTGACAAGTCATCAGTCAGGGAGGCCATTCTTACATAGTTAGCAGAATACGAAAAGCGCAAAACTATTCCTACGACAGTCCATCGACAGTCTATTGATACAGTATATTGAAGAGGGTGGTTGCAAGTGACAGAGAGAGCCTTTGAGGTTGAAAGGCTTTCCATTGGCATGGACAAAATAGCCACAAATAATGATGATTATTATTACAACAGGTTGCATATATTGCACAACGTAACATCACTAACCTACCGTAATATCAGTGACTGTTATATGACAAAAAGGTCAATAAACTGATAAGAAACATTTATCAGGAAGCCGATCGCAATCAATGCTCACTATATTTTGTAATCCAACAGTCAAAGCACTAGATAAACGGTAATGAACTTCATATCATTGCTTATAAGATAAGATAAGATTTGATAAGTTGCATCCTTTTAATCCTTTAACAACTGCTATACAAAACACAGGATTATGTTAAATATATTTTAGTACGCATTTAGCATTATGCCATTGCTTACCTGCGATACGAATTGGATATATCACAGGGCGAAAACTAGGTTAGTATTTTTTTAATGTAATTATTAGTAAATATAATATTTTCATGTGCTTTTAAATTCTCGCAATATTATGGTTGTTGAACAGTTTAATGTTGAACAGCCTTTCCTTTACGAAAGGGTGTTCAACATTCAATACAAAGGGAGGAGAAGTGATCATGCCTGAGTGACCGCGGCCAGACCGTTGATGTTAATTTTATAAATCCGCATGGGAAATTTCACTGCGCGATTCATTTAATTACTGTGCAGTTCAGTTTGTCTTCTCTATATTCTCTATGTGGAGGTCAATTCCTAGTCACAACAGTGGCATGTAAAACCTACTGCCGGTTTACTGGGTCTGCTGGTGAAATTAATGTATTCTATAATCCATACTTTATATTATAAATATGTAAGTAAGTTTGTTTGCTAGGATAAAATAATTGTTATCTCTAGATCAGTACAGTGTCTAGACTGATTAAATCTATTAAATCATTAATGAAACTGTGATAATCACGAAACACACAGTGAACAAGTCGGATCGCATAGAAAGTAGTTACCCCACTATTAATAAAATTATTAATATTTGTATATCATCACATCAACAACCTTTAATAGTCCACTGCTGGACATAGGCCTCTACTTAGAAAGGAGGTTTTGGCCTACTATACCACGCTGGCCAGACGGGTTGGTATAGGGTTTGAATCAAGTTTTCCTTTCTTTTGCAGTGCTTGTGTCCTGCGTTGTTTTGCGCCCTTAGTCGGCTCTTACGACACCCACGGGATGAATTGGGGTAGTGACATTCCGTATTCTTAATCCGTCACTACATGGACTATTTGTACATTGACACGAAGTATTTGCATATAGTACTTGTTATATTATTGTTCTACATGTCAAATTAGATACATATAAATCTACTTACTATTATCTATCTAAATACTACAGTAATGAAGCTATTAAGTTTTTTATTTCGGTGTGCCTTTATACACACTCTAATCTCGAGAACTACCAATCAGATTCGAAAAAATATTGTTGTGTTAGATAGGGTATTACGAACGAAAGCAACCATAAACGCTATTGAAACTGCGAAAAAATGAATTAATAAATGCACAATAAGCACACCTATGATAAGATTATAATTATGATTTCGTATGTGGACACAAAGCGACTGACAGTCGGTCCGGTATATTGTCCTTTCGTTTGTTGCAATCACAGGATCACGGCCATTGTATCGTGTCCGATATCCATTGACTGTTGTGACTTATAGCAGTCTTAAGCGCTTATGTTCTTATGATGCGTAGGCGACTAAATTCCTTGTCAATACTACGAATTGGTGTTCCTACAACAGTTCGTGAGTACGTAGGACAGTTATTCCTAACTCATGCGGGTTTTAGGAACCGAGCTACCAACGAAACAAACAAATACACTTAATAAAGAAAGAGTATTAGTTAAAGGATCTAATACCCTTTCTTTCATAATTAAAATTACATACCATGGCATATTTTTCTAGAAAAAACCTTTAATGTACAAATTAATAGGAAATAGAGGAAAGGATAGGTTAATAAAGTTTAGCTCCGTGGTTTTAAATAAACTTTTCTTATACCGAATGTATAGCAAATGTTTTATAGTGTTGTCCCTTTCTTGTCTATTTGACAGTGTGTATACTGTGGGTGAAAAGTTAAATAGGTTATCTTGGTTTGGACATGTCATAGGTATGGGAGTTGAAGGGTACGAGGGAAGAGGAAGACCAAAGAAAAGGTGGACGGACTGTGTGAGTAAGGATATGGCTAGGAATGAAGTAAACAGTGAGATGACGAATGTTAGAGTAGAATGGAAGAATCATACTTACTGCGCATACCCCAAATAAAATTAGGATAAGGGTAGGCAGATGATGACGACACTGAACAATACAATCGATTTTATTTCTTGCTACGACTAACAGAAGGCGTTCAGGAAACGTGGAAAGTTTCACTTATCAAGTTTTCTGAATGCGTTATGTTGACCGTTTGTAAAGACCTACTACCTACTACTGCCTTTTTGTGCCTGAGCTACGGCTCTATACAAATGACGCCTTAGTTGTATGAATGATCGCCATACTCGTCAGTCATCAATCAAGCTTTATAGTTGTCACTAAGCAAAATAATTTTAGAAACCACAGAGTTTTACTGTTAAAAATAATTTTATGTCAGTAATTATATTATATTATTTATGCCTAACGTAATTACTTAACTCATGTTAAGTAGAGGATCAGTACCTCGTAAAGAGGGCGACCCTTACGACTCTCGGGGTTGTTAAAGTCGATCTCCACAAGTTTATCACTACTTTGTTGAAGTATATCCCGAGGACAATTTGACCCTTTTGAACCTTTCCCCTGGATCAAGTGCAGGGTTTCTGTTTAAGAATCGTATTATATCGCTATCCGTAACTGACGTGAGTTAGTGGCTCAGTGATATTATCTATACGTTAATGGTCCTCTAAGAAAAATTTAAATAAGCTTATTAAACTTAAGCCACAATCTGCAGTCAACGATCATTGATTTAAACTGCCTCGGTTGTGCATTAGTAGCGCATGCGACTGTTATCTTAGTCTCGGGTTGGACCAAATGTTTGTATGATCTGCAAATATTTCTTTCGGTGTTTGTATGTTTTCTATGTATAATATGTATGTATTTATAAAAAAAAAGTATTTAAGTATTCTATCTGTCAATCTAGCATTCATAGTACAAGCTCTGCTTAGTTTAAAACTAGATGGCGTTATGTGTCAGATGGCCGAAATATTATTATTTCAAATGAAATTCTTACATTGTTGAATAACAAAACAAGCTGAGAAGATGTTAAGTAAAGTTATGTGTTATTTCATGGTTCGTTGGCTTGCCTTTAAGTGAGCCGCTTCTCTTCTTCAGATATTCACGTATGCAGACACGTGTCTGCATACGTGAATATACTGCATCTACTATATCAGTCAGCCAACAACACGGTCTGTCAATACGATATACATATAATTCATACATCTTTATAACATTTGGTATAAAACAAAGAGCTTGCGCACTGAGTGCTGTCCTCAACCCAAGTCAAGACTGTTTGTGTTTAGAAGGTTTATAAACTTAGTAAAGTATGAGTTAATGAATATACCTACGTCCTAATTTAGGTATACATTTAATAAAAATGTTAATTATACTATAAACGCGAAGGTTTAGGGGATGGATGTATGGATGTTTGTTACCTAATCACACCTAAACGGATTTTATTAAAAAAATAGTACATTGATAGATTATCGTCTGGAACGCACAGCGTTTACTTGTTAGCAAGTAAAAAATGATTGACAAAGTCTAAATTAACATACAAAGTTGCGTATAAAAGCCAGTAAATTAAAATTGCGATTGTAAGTTTGTTAGTTACAGTATTACGCTTTACCAACACAACTTCCCATAATGCAATTTTCCATACATATTGTCAGGAAGTAGGACATAATGTACCTTTGTACCTAAAAGGGCTATTCCCGAGAATATATTTTATAAATAATATTATTAAAATCCACAGTAACACGATTTAAGATGTGGACAAATGCCAAAAAACAAATAATAAAAGAGACAGTCTAATCTGAACACCGTATCTTGTTAGTAGTTTCTTTGAAACAACTCACTCTCAACTTATAACTGTACAAACACCTACAATAAATAAATAATTGGCCGACAAACACAGACAATGTTTCCAATAATCGATCCAATTGTAGCACAAATCCTTTCAGTAGCTTCAGCCACGACGGGATTTATCGACGGGAACGTTCACTGGTAATAGGATTGCGATAAGGGTTGCCAGCTGACCAGCTTTCACAGCACGTGTTTAGCTGTTTACTGTGTCCTGTCAAATATTAACATCCCTAGCCTGTTTGACTTTTGGCAGCAAGCCTCAAGGTATCAAAACAGAGTGGTATTGCCTACCTTCTAACTATACCGGAGTTATCGTTTACCATCACTACTATATACTAGTTTGACCTGTCATAACAAAAATATTTATAATAGGGCTTCGCCGTACTAGGGCTGATCTGCTGCTCTAAAGCATTAGATCAGCAGATCAGCCCTAGTACGGCGAAAAATCAGGTTCAATCAGGCAACCCTACCTAGGATCAAAAAGAATGAACGGACGTAGGGCGTTCGATATAACTAGACATCCGCTGATAGAAGGGTGGATATATCAGCATGTACATTGCCATGCATTTCTGCAGCTTTTAATATCATTAATGCTGATGACCAATACGAAGGGGATGACCAATACGAAGGGGGAAATCTAGACTGATATGGATGTAGTGTGAATTATGATGTTTATTAAGGAGATACGGCGTTATAGTTAAAAACATTACAAAACCATGGAAGGGTAACTTACAATTTGAATGTCCTCCGAGGAAAGCTTTGAAAGTGGTTGTTACGATTGTAAAATGAAACGAGGCATAATCGTTATCTAAATTAATGGGGAGTATTTAACTACAAATCAAAAAGTCTTCCTTCTTTATAAAAAAATAATCCCAATCCTAATCAAAAATACTGATTGCACAGCAAAATAGTTACCTCAAAATAATATTATTTTAGCAACTATTTGAGTTCGTGACGCATCTCTGTTATTTGAAACGTGGCACTTTTATAACCTAACCTACTATTCTAGATACAGGTCGTTACTAATAGCGATTCTTTTTCTTGTGGGGTCGCAGTTCTAACCTAACCTTGCTTACAACCTAACCTACTTTTCTGCCAGCAGCTCGTTTAATTTGATATGAAAATAATATATTTTCGTACATTAAGCAACTTTTGTCTGGCAAATTTGAGAAAAAAAATATAATACACTTTTGATGTATATTTTGGAATTATTTCTAGTCCTGGTTTTGTTAAACAATTAGTTTATTCGCAGTGAAATAATTTAATCAATATAAATCGATGATTGATAAGTTCTTTGATGTGCATTAAAAAATATCCCAATATTAATACAAATTCTTTGACCCTATTTTTAACAAAATTTTACTCGTGGACGTATCCGATATTTGAGTTGTAATCTACGTGTGAAATATACACACCTAAACATTGACTTATCAGGATAGAGATAGATAGATAGAGAAAGTTACAGTTACACTCATACTAGTGAATAAAATATAACCCTTGGTTTGTTACGTTGAATTTCGAAGACCAAGCGACCTCTTGTTTTTAATTATTATGCTTAACATAATTCTTATTTTATTTAGTTATACGTTTTTCTTTTTACTATATAAGCCATAAAATTTACGTAAGAAGACATCATAAACAGCATACAATAAAAAAGATATGACAGGTGTTACCAAATCGTGGCGCACGTTGTTCTGAAAATATATGTCATCGGTCAATGCCCTTTATTATCAGTAGCGCGTCACTTATTTGTATATATATGTTATCGATGCAAATTCACACTTTAGAACTAATTGATGTGTGAATTACCTTCATCATATTCTTGTTATAGTTGAAAATTTATAACTACTCAACAAGTAGGGTTTTCCCCTTTTTTGTTCTTTTGTGTAAACATAACTTACAATTCGAATTTTAATTAATTATATATTACCATTAAAGGTGTGTATATATATATTTTTTCACACATTTCACACACGGCCGTCTGATCCTGAAACTAGGCAGAGCCTGTGCTATGGTAACCAGACTGCTGATAAACATACTTATAAATTTCTAAATACTTACATATTAGATAAATTACACCCAGACACAAAACAAATGACCTTGCTCATCACCCAATATTTGTCCTGGGTGGGAATCGAACCCACAACCTGTGGCGTAGCAGGCAGGGTCACTAGCCACTAGACCAACAGGCCAGTCAAATATATATAGATATATAGTTTGGATTCTAAGTTTTCCAATTATGATATTCAAATGCCAATATATTTCTTCACGTATATAAGAAAGTAAGCTCGCCTCTTTATTCCTTAACACGACATAGAGAATATATATTTGTACATGCATAATACATACATGCGTGTATACGTGTGCGGCGTAATCCCCTAACACCGTAATGCGTCTAAAAAGCCCGTCGAGACAATCTCGTAAGTCACTTGTTTCCGGAAAAACACAATATAGATACTGTAAAAGGTTTTTTCTTGTTTGTCTAAAAGAGGACAAGTCCAAACTCCAATTTCAAATGCTATCTAATTCAGATATTAGCTAATTGAAAACTTTAATGAGAATTAGTTAAGTTAGAGAACCTAGTTAAGAATTTAATGATGTCACACAATGTGAGTAAGTTAGTTGTGGATTTGTGACGAAAGCATGAACATTCGTCACTTATCAATACCACAACATGATAGCAACGAATTTATGATTGGTTGTGTGACATTATTTGTACCAATTCTCGGTAATATAGCCCCTATCTAGTCTGATACACTAATTAAATTAAGTCAATAAAGTACACCAAGTACGTGATGACATAATTTGATTTGTTGTGAGTAATTGGAAAGCAAGGACTTTGATAAAACTTGTTTACTGTACCAATTGGGTCGGTAGCAGGCCCTTCTAGAACACGGGGAAGCCGTTAAGTTGATTTTGACTTCATATTTCATTTATCTACAAATGCCAAAGTTCTGTGAGAAAAATAATCAATCGCACGATAGAGTGTCCTGTATCGTGCGATCGCCACTCTAGACGTAGGCAAATCATATAAAATATTACAATTTAATGTTGTTTATAGTAAATGTTAATAATCTATATATATATATCTATATTCAACGCCTACATTTTTAATGATTTATATAACTTGACACCCACGGTTTTATTTTCTCGATTAGGTATAAAGTTAAGTTTATGTATAAACATAAGTACCTACATTCGGCGTCATGTGTAAATATACGATTGTAAATGTGTAAATGACTGCACGGATGGCGTAGTGGTTTAAGCGGTCGCCACGCCGCTTCCTACTACGCCGAGTATTGTGGGTTCAAACCCCACATGAAACGACACTTTGTGTGATCAACAAATTGTTGTTCTGAGTCTGGGTGTTATTTGTGTCCGTTTCATATATGTTTGTAAAGTCCCCCGCGACACAGGATATATTCCGAATGCGGGAGTTGTCTTTAAAAAAAAAAAAAAAAAACAAAATCAAAAAAACAAAAAAAATTGACCGTACTCTATAACAATATTTATAAATGTACTTAAATTTCAATATAATTTCTCATATTTAAAGGTGTTACTTTACAAGCCAGATACAAAAAAAATCTTAGTAAGTAAGTAAGTAAGAGCCAATAAAACCCCGCAATCGAAAACAAAAATCACATTGACCATTTTTCAAACCTATACGCCTACTGACTTCACTAAGTAAAGTACTTCCATTCGTTCCCATTTACGCAACAGCTCCAACTTACATAACAAACAAAACATTCGGCCTTACTTGTTACAATAAATAAAAGCTAATAAATCCGTGCCCTTGGCCCTACCGTGTCGAATATAATGTTCACACCTTCATCCATTGAAATCAACAAGACCATTGAAAGCCTGACCAATTCACCAGTATTTTATGTAGGATATTATGCCGTATTTGATACGGATATTTTTCCTTAAGGTTGCCTTCTGAACAATAAAATAGGTTTTAAATTGGTTGATGAAGTCAAAACTACGTCACATCACATCACATCAACAGCCTTTAATAGTCCACTGCTGGACATAGGCCTCTCCTTAAAAAGGAGGTTTTGGCCTTTTTTTCACCCCACGCTTTTTTCAAATTTATTTTCTATTTTTTAGTTTGGTTTTCTATAGAAAGCGTTTTTTTTTTTACTACTGAAGATTAAAGAGTTTACGTTACATTATCAACATCTATACTTTAGACGTAAACAAACATGAAATTTCAATAATCTTTATACAAAGAGTACAAAATTCCAAAAGTAATATCCTGTCCTGTAAATACCACTCCAGTTTCCTGTTTAACGACGTGAAACTTTTGAAAATAGCTACAAGAAAACTAAGAAAAGTGTCATTAAAATTCGTTTAGTAGTTTTTGAGTGAGGATCACTCAAAAAATAAACAAAGTAAATTATAAAAAAAAAACACTACTTCCTTTATCATAGCTTCTCTAAATAATTTGTGTCACTGTCGTAGTATATACATTAAGTGTACTTAATAAATTGTAGTATGTTTATAGCTTTTCCATATTTGTAAATGTTAATAAAACTTAAGCCCTGCTTTTACGATCCATAAATGATGTATCGATCGTAAAGCTAGACTGCATAAGCAACGACTGGTAGACAATTATTTGTAGCTAATGGTGAAATATATGTGTGATGTACCAAAAATTAACATAACCAGATAATCTAAAAAGAAAATTTAGGTTTGAGAATTTAAAGTTGAGCCTAGGCAAAAAGTGCGGAAAATCCAGAACAGATGAACCTGTCATAAGGGGAGGGAGCTTTATTTTTATAGATGTCGTGACGTAGTGTTGATACATCCGCGAATAAGCAATACCTCAGTTGATAGATTATTTTTAACCTCATTCCTATCAAATAGTTATATTATTATGATTGAGTGAACTTCAAGAGTTAGGAGATTTTAGAGGAAATATTACCCGTGTAAACAATTTCCCTAATTTTCCTAAACAATTAAGTCGAACATTCTATCGTGGGAGGTAGGGTCGTACTCCGTGGACTCTACACACATAATTATTCATGACTTAGATAAGCACACTCATTTACATACACAAACATTGCATCCTTTCAACTTTCAGTAAAACAAGAATATTATTTTTGGAACGAAGTGTTTAAACACTTATAAACACAGACGGGTTTGATAACATTATTGTTTAATTTATATCTGATATTCAGATAGTAATAATAGGGCCTGTTGGTCTAGTGGTTAGTGACCCTGACTGCTAAGCCTGAGGTCGTAGGTTCGTTTCCCACCTAGGACAAAAATTGTGTAATGAGCACGGTCATTTGTTCTGTGTCTGGGTGTAATTTATCTATAAAATGGACCCAAGACTTATATCAAATCGGTGTATAACAGGATTGCAAAACCCGAGGTCCATGAATTTATCATAGGGTCATTCCACATTCAGTCTCTAAGGCAAGTATCAACCACTGTATTTTACGCTAATCGATAGGAAAGAAAGAAGATCCAAAATATGGTATCTATGGTGCAATGAAAAACACAGTTTATGGCTCATCTGAAGCACACCATGGTTTCCAACAACTCAATACAAATACGATAATATTTAATAGGTCAATAACGGTGCATCACACATGTTGCAAAAATTCCATACTACACTTTCATCGGCGTCAAATTGATTCCATAATGTTTACGCCTTACAAAACCTACGCTAAAATGGTAAAAATAAAGTTAAAAAGGTTCAATATTTTCTTCTGCTGGTATTTAGCTACAAACGACATTTCAATAATAATGTAAATCTTGTTCAAAGCACTTTACTAAATTAAAGCTGGCCACTACACTCTCCGCCTGACGCACAATAAGCAAATAGTGCATTTTTTCCGCTTGCTAGAGCAGCCTATTACACTGCACCTAATCTTAAGCTAAATGTTCAGTAAAAATACCGCAAATAACCGGAATTATAACATTCGGAGAAACCGATACGTAGATATCCATAAAAAATACTGTATAAATTTTCCTCTAATGTAAAACGTGTTGGATTCTGCGAATTTTCAATGCATCACACAAATACGAACGGGCAAAAACTGATAGGCGACAGTCATAATAAAACAGTGGAATGAAATATTCTATTGGGACATCTTTCAAATCAGACTTTTTAAAGTATTTTAACATTAAAAGTGGAAAAAATTAAAGTCAACAACGTTTTACTAAAGAAACGAAAAAAAAACGAATTAAAGAAGCCGAAGACGACAAATTTAATAAATAGATATCAGCGTCGTTATATATTTTTTCACAATCAATCTGTAAAATTCGATCAGCTGTTTTCAAAAACTGAAGTCATCCAAGGAGGATGAACACAACCAAGATTTACCATAAGTACAGTTTCATCCCTAATACCAAATATACCAATATATTTAAGTACAATATCTACAGTATATGTATTTAGGTATTAAGACCATCATTTAGAACTACCTGTATAACACTGTTTTTTTTTTTGTTCCAGTCATGAGCCGGAGGGCGGCGGACGTTGTGGCGAGGGCCCGCTAGCGCGTGCGATGCAGCCCGCACCGCCGGGCGGCTCGCCCAAGCGCCACCCACAGCCAACATCACATGGTATGTACTCTGATATCTTTCTGTAATCTGAAATAAGCAGCAAATTATACCTTTTATGAGAAAATAATGAGAATAACTGCAAGCAACTGTAATGCATAGTTCTGAAACGATTACTATAACCTTTCTAGATGGTATTAAATACTGCATAATATATCTTGTCAGTGATAACACATTAGAAGAGATACTGTGTGCTGTTTGTTAGATACGTGCTAGTAAAGGGAAGGCGCATAAATACTTTTCTTTTTTGTTCACATTATAAACGCATACATCCGAAGATAGATAAAGAAGAAGAAGATATTAAAACTGTGTTGATCTAAGTGTTTATCGTCAAGAAGAACATCTAGAGCCCGAAGTACTAATATTTTTTTTGGACACAGCCATGAACATTTCAATATACTTTAGTTGTTTTGCTTTTTTTTAATGCAATCTTTATGGATATGTCGGCATCGAACCTACAGAAACCACACAGTTTTCCGTCAAAAGACATCTTTTACTTTAAAAAACAAGTCCGAAAATGATCCAGGACTCAACCCAGGACCAAAAGTTTATCTAGGCTTAGCCTAGCCCACACAAAAGGATCATATGTACATATGTATGTACTGCAGCTGTATTTAAAATGCATAACAAACTACTCTTTCCCCTGTAGTTCCTTCCATTAATAGCTGCCCTTAAAAGCTTTGCCTTTATTTGTACCACTTTAATGTACCGAACACTTTTCCTATTCCCTCAAACAAACATTATATTGTATCCTTGTTTAGTTATGCTTTCCTTGTTTAGTTTTTTATTCAGTTTTTTTTTTATTATTGCTTTCCAATGCAATATGTTAATTACTGTTAGAAATAATATTTCTCCATACACTTATTAAGGTATTATAGTTTATTGAACTAATTACTAACAAGCAAGCATCCCATGGCGTTAAAATTAAATTGCCACCAACGGATTTAATAGAGTTGATGGGTTAAAATTTTTTATACAGAAACCAATAACACAAAATCAAAAATAATAATAACACAAAATTTCACCGGAATCCTTAAAGTCGTTTCCGAGAAACCAATATATCTTGGTATACAAACGCATGGACATGAATTCAACATTTCAGCAATACATACGGTATTAGGGACTTACAGTCTTACATTTGAAGTATTTGCTCGGATAGCGCTGTAGTCTGACAAAGATTTACATTATATCGTGACGTATAACAGTGATAACAAAACAATGCATTATGCATCACAAGTAATCGGCTTACAAGCTAAACTTGTATCAGATTTTCCCATACGCTTATTCCGTTATTTTCTTTCCGCAAACGCTCTTGTTTTCCCATAGGATTTTATCGCGTAAATTGTGTTATATTAAATATGTACATAATACCTCGTTTCTCGTTAAACCGAGCTATTACGTTACGTCTAAAATGTTAAAAGTGTTTTAATTAAAATTCCGCCGTGTGTGAAAAAAGGCTTTGAAATAAAATTATATTAACCTTTATAAGCTAGTGGATTTTTTGTTCGGAATGGTGAATATTATTCTGTGTTGAAATAAAGACGGCGTGAAATCTTCAAGAAACGTTCAATAACACAACCAGCATGATAATAAGTTGCGACCCGAGTGCATAAGTAGTTTTTTTGCTAGGATTAGTACATTTGCACAAATAGTTATAAACTATATAAGCATATTTAAACTGTGGTATTTTATGTCAGTGTTGTCTTTGTATCCATACAAAGACAACACTGTTTTTCGTCCTGGTTAAGCATTACTTGATCAAAGCACTTGTTGGCTCTTCATTGTGCAGAAATCTGTTATACCCTGTCTCCTACATATCTTTTTTGTCTCAGTACTTACTACTTCTTGATTTTGAATGATTTCTATGAGTGTAAAAACTTTTAATATGTGTATAACATGTGAAAAGTTATTACATATTACTTTTACTTATTACATTATAACTGTAGGTTTGAATATTTTGCGTAGCAAATACTTTATTAATAAAATTTAGGAAAGGTACATGACCAGGGTGGGGCTGTACCACGCCTGTAACGACACGCCTTTACAGTTAATTAGAGAAGGTTTTATTAAAACCATTACAAGTTTAACACCCATTTAGTTAAGAGCTGGGTGCAGCTTCTGGGTAACTGATGGTTTTGTTGAATTGATACTTAATTGCGTCATTCGTTGTGTAATGTTACTAACTGCTATGTTTAGGATTATATATATATGTATAAAATATTGTTTTCTTGTAAAATAAAAGTCATAATAATTATAGTCTGCGACATTTTACACACATTGTTGTCTAACACCAAAACAATCATAATAATTTAATTTATATTTTGCACTGCACGAGAATACAACCTAACCAAATAAGTTGCCTATGTTTACAAGCCGGATGTTTACTCTTTTAATGCTCTCTCTTAGAAATAACAATAGTTTCTTTAGACACTACAAAAAATTCCCGATACCTACTCTCCCGCACAAATCATTTCTGTATTTCTTTTCTTTTTCTTTCTTTTTTTAAAAGACAACTCCCGAACTAAGAATAAATCCTGCAAAAAGAAAGTTTGCACTAACCAAAAATCCTTTACCTACACAAAGTCTGTGATCTTTTTATAGTTTGGGCATTTGTACCTTAACCTCCAAATACGTTTAGTCTTATGGTAACAAAACTGTTGTTTACATGTTTTTTTTTACTAGGAGATTCTTAGCATTGAGTCTGGAAACGTATTCGGAGGGAAACGGAAGGTTCGTCTTTATAACGTGATACATCACATCAACAGCCTATACTAGTCCACTGCTGGACATAGGCCTCTCCTTAGAAAGGAGGTTTTGGCCTACTACACCACGCTGGCCAGACGGGTTGGTATAGGGTTTGTTTCAAGTTTTCCTTCTCTTTGCAGTGCTGTTGTCCTGCTTAATTTGCTCCCTTAGTCGGCTCTTACGACACCCACGGGATGAATTGGGGTGGTGACAATTTGTATTCTTAATCCGTCACCACACGGACTTACTAATGAACGTGATACATACAATCTATGAAAGAAGAAACTAACAGACTGGATCACTGACTGATCGAAAATCGCAAGGTCTAGAAGCATGAAATTATGCACAAAGATTCCTTAGGTAATGTAGGTGTACACTAAGAAAGGTTTTTTTTTAAATTTACCCCTAAGGGTGTAAAATGGGATTTGTAAATTTATATGAAACTTCGTTATTTTTAGTAGTAAGCAGCCTTTTCGAACTTACAATAAATACTCTATAGTTTTTATCTTCTTTTATACGTATACCTATAATATTGATTCATTGTATCCTCTACGATGTCACCACGCGGACGAAGTCGCAGGCAAAAGCTAGTTATATATAGATATGTAATAAATAATTGAAAATACAAGGGAAAAGGAAAATTTATTACAGAATTGACGTACAAGTCAGTAACTCCATTATTATGGTTAAGTGTCCCGCAGGGGACAGCAGGCATCTGTCGTTTGTCTAGTTAATAGAAAAAAATACCACCACAGGGGCGTATAACAAACTCTATCTATCTATTTTGATATATTTTGTCTTTTATCGAAAATATATTTTCGATAAAAGACAACTCCCGCATTAGAAATAAATCCTGTGTCGCAGGAAATTTTACAAACATACATGAAACTAACACAAAGGATCGCAACGATCGCAACGCAAAGTGGGGATCCCATCTGGGTATCGAACCCACAACACTTAGCTCAGTAGGAAGCGGCGAGATGACCGCTTAAACCAATACGCCATCCGTGGATTTATTTTGCTCTCACAAGAACGAAAAACAAATAAGAAGCTCACATAAAGTGCTGTTCATAAATTGACTTGTACAACTTTTGGATGGCTCTGGATTTTTACAGGTTTATATTTGTTACAGTGTTAAGCAGTTCCTTGGTTTCTTTTCACCGAGTGAGTGAAATCATCGGAGCCTAAACCCCGCCCTCCTCCCTGGCTCTAACTGAAAGAGCGGCAACGCACTTGTGACTCAGTTGAGTGTATCCATGGGTGGCGGTAGTTACTTATTATCAGATGACCTGTCTGCTCCTTTGTCTCCTTTATACTATAAAAGAAACTATTAATAAATTGTAATGAAAAGGAAGCAAAAGCAGGAGCATTGTAACTGAACCAGCCCAGAATATACGCTGGAGAGAGAGAGCGCTATTATTATGTTTCTGCTCCGGTTCAAAAAAAATCGTAGTCCCGGGGAAAACAGAAAAACAGAAATTTAATTTGAACTGATCCAAATTAAACTTCTGTTTTCCAAACCAGTAGTTCGATAACCTACCAGAAACAAGATGTTAACTGGAACTGTCAATAAAGAAATTCAAGTGAATGGTTTGAACAACTGAACATTGACGAAACCAGGTCGATGCCGGCTTTTGTCAGAGATTCAAAGGCGCTAATGACCTTTTGGTGTAATTCAAACGCGGCTGACTCGCGATTTGTTCCGAGCCAGCGTTAACTGGCGCGGCCGCCATTGTACAAAAAGTTATATAAATAAATAGAACCCATAAAGGTCATAGTGTTATATTAGTTTAGTTTTTCATTAGAATGTACGTTTAAATAACGGACTAAACATGCCTTGACCCGCTACAGCATAAAAATTTACAGTTTTTATATGCCATCGTTTTGATGATGATTGATGATTTAAACACATACTAACAAAGGAAGTTAATTAGATTATAAAAACTGTATATGACTGAATAAAAAAAAACAGCAAACCGTTTTCTTTAAATATCATTAGTAATTGGCGGTATTGTAGCAATAGCAAAATCACATGCCTTGGCGTCGTATATAGATATCTTGAACATAGTTAGCTTAAAATTGTTTTTTACCTGGTAATTAATCATATGATTATAGAAATCTGCTTATTATTCTTCTATATTTTTTCAAATTTTCTTTATCAATCTCCAGGTGGGACGGCAGGAGACCAGTCAACGCTCAAAGTTCACCTTCCAAATGGCGGGTTCAATGTGGTGCGAACGTCAGCAGATGAAGATGTCAGATCAGTTTTAAGGCTACTGGCAGCTAGGTTAGCCTCTGGAGACCGGGTCTACACCAGCTGCTTTGCGCTAAGAGCCAAGAGACTTACTACTGGGAAGGTAAGACAAATGCTTATAGGAAAATAGTATTATCAGTAGGTACTAAGCAAAAAAACTGGCTTAGGTAAAAAGAAAATAGGCGAGTTCAGAAATTCGTACTAACTTTATAAAGAGAACAGATCTCACACACTACAAAAAAGTATACTCAAAAGACAACAGTGTAAAGCACACATATGTCTGTGTCTAGCAACTTGACAACAATGAATATAACGTTGGTATTGTTACATGTTTAAAAGGGGAATAAACTACGGATCTAATTTTCATACATTGCGCGTCATCCCAAACGCACTTATCCTATTTTTTTTCCAATAAAACCTTTTATTTCATAAATCTTTTTCGATCTTTTTTGTGTTAAATAGTTTCTGAGCTATCTGTTGCTTCCTCGCTATCCGTGCCACTAGTGGTATAATCAGAGACTTCAGATCTTACTTACTTACTTACGGTTCCAGATACGATGGATTCATCAAGATACACCGGTGTCAGAGCTGCTGACAAAGTGGCCGGCGAGCGAATGGCGGCTGGAACTCCGCGTGCGCTACCTGCCAGCGAACCTTCGTGACCTGTGCGACGCTGACCGAGTCACTTTCCATTATTATTATGATCAGGTAGAAATCTTTTTCGTTTTCTACATTTTTATATTGATACTCGTGTCAATAAAACATATTAGTGACAACAAATAATCGTTTACGAGGATAAATTTCTAAAATATTTTTTTCTAACTAATTTATATACAAAGCAGATTTATACTGAAATTGAAAAAGCTACGTTAAAGTAGATCTCTGTGTCGCTTGCTATAACGTTCCTATCATGCTCATTGGCCAGCTTGATTGTATAAATATATATATACGTATTAAGTTTGTTTATTTTGAATTCGTAAATACTTTTATGTGGAAGTATTTGTATCCAAGACAAAATTCATAAGCATGCTTAAATATTAGCTTTTAATAATGTTTGGCAAAAATAGCCCACAAATAAATTAACATATAAACTCTTCACCAAATATTATATACGGTTTAGCTGTCACAAATAAGCCAACCAAGGCAATAGAGCTTAGTTTGGTTTCTCAAAGACTTTTCAAGAATTTTCATCATCTTTTAAATGACTGAAGTGTAATTTTTATTGTGTTTCCAGGTGCGACATGACTACCTCAACGCCAATCATCCCATGGTAGACCAGGATTTGGCGATACAAATATGTTGTTTAGAAATAAAGTGAGTACTTATCGTTTTCTAATATAAATTTAGTTGTTTTTGTTTTATTCAATTGTAATTTAACCCCGAAAATACCGTCAACAGAAAACAAATTCCACATTGTTTCCTTCACTCTTATTTGGAAATTAGCAATACTAAGTTAAAATAAGATAATAATATATTTGAACAAAAAGTAAAATGTTACTGGTAAAACCTGGAATTATAGGTGTTCCACTTAACAAAACTTTTCAGTTCCAAAGATACTTAAAATTTGTTTGTCCTTTAAACACTGTTAAAAAAATTAAAGGGTCTATTGAGTAAATCCTGTTATGGTCATGGTATAAATGGTTTTTAATTTGAAGGATGTCCAAAAACAATATATTTATATTTCCAGATACTTCAGTAAAGATATGCAAATATCTCTGGACAAGAAGTCCAACATAGAATATCTGGAGAAGGAGTTCGGTCTACACAAGTTCCTGCCTAAGTCGGTGCTAGACGCCATCAAACCCAAGGTGCTCAAAAAGGCTATACAGCAACAGTTCAAAAAGGTAAATCTTTGAATGTTCTCTGTGCATTGTTGAATATTGATAGACACCATACTTGATTATCATCTCGTGCTTACTAATTATAGTATATCATAAATGCGAATTTGAGTTTATTTATAATAACTACTTAGGGAACCATCATGAAATTGGGTGTACCCATGATAACTTTAACGTCACGTTTTAAGTACCACTAACAACGCCATCTATTTAGGCATCCTTTAAACACATACTTTTCGCATTCTATTCTAATTTATTGCTGCAGAATTATTATTATTATTTTTTTAATGGCAAATGCAGGTGGCGAATTTGGCTGACACAGAATGCATGTTGAAGTACTTAGAAACCATGCACACGCACTATGGGTATGACCGGGAGACGTTCACTGGCGCACTCGGCACCGGCTGGGCCATACCCGTCGAACTGGCCATTGGACCTTTTATAGGTAAGACTTCTTGAGATCTTCTTCTTGATCTTCTTGCTCAAAAGATAAAGGTCATTGATTGTGACTATCAATTGCATAAATAGTTATTCAAATGCGATAGTTTCTGATAGTTCCATGGATAAGCGCGTTCATGTAATAAAAAAGATAAAAAAATAACCTCGTGTATCATGTTAGATTAGTTATCATCATCAGCCTATCGCAGTCCACTGCTTCACATAGGCCTCTCCCATTGCACGCCACTTAGATCGGTTTTAGTTATAAATTACTGTTATCGCAAGATTTCCCCATCTGAATAGGAAAAAATTATTTCTAATCCCAGACGAGCTCTAGACATTTTAGTAAATCGACCAAATTTCCACCATGTGTTACTAAATGTTTAGCCAGCAACATGCACTATGCACAATACCCTAGTTTTTTGAGATTTGCAGACGTAAATATATTAAAATGTTTACTATGTGTTTGTTTGTTTGTAGATATATCATACGTGTCACATAAGGCCGGCGAACCACCAACATACACGAAAATAGCATCATTCTGTGACATCGTCGCCGTGCAGACACTTAAGTCGAACTGCACGCAACAGTCACAAACACAGGTCAGTTGTAGCAGGCATTAGAAAGTCGAAATAACAGGCCATTAAATCAGTAAAAAAATGTAAACTCAATTTGTTATCATCTGCAGCACAGAAGAATAGTGCTTCTGTAAATTTTTGCGGGCTTCTTTTTTTTCTGACGGTAGATAGTAAGATATCCTTCAGATCGAACATCGTTCAATGAAAGAAGAAGCGAGCCCGCATAACCTTTTAGGCTTTGTTCGCTCACTACAGACTAAAGATACAAAACTGCATATTTTTAAAGAATCTTAAGTTAGCTCTTAGTAATCACTCTCTAAAATTTTATATTTTACTTCATTTCATCCTCATCTATTTATCATGAAGCTGTCTCAATGGCATTATTTCACCATAACTTGGTACGGACCAGTTTTGCTATCATTTAATTTTACGAATTTGCATAAATACGACAGTTCACTTTTATATACCTAAATGTATTATGTATGATGAAAATAAATTTTCATATTCCTATTTCATCTAGTTTACTCATTAATAACTTATCTATCGAAGCATGTCGTACAAACAAATGGATGTTCTGGATGTCCCATATAAATATTTTTGATATTGGTTATCTTTGTTACAGAGCGGATCGTGCGGGAAGGCAGCGTTACAGTTGAGAGTGAAGGGTACTACGGAGACCCTCACAATTACGTGCAGCAGTGTAGAGGTACGTTTACCACTCGCTTTTATATATCATTATTATTTTCTGAGCTCTTGCCCAATTAATCAACACTGTAGTGATTCTTTCCCTATTAATCATACTACTAAAGACTGTAGTGTTATATCTTTTTGTCCTATGGAACAGTGCAAAACTATGGCGAGATACAATATGTACAATCGGTGCCCGCTTGCAAGCGAGTGCTTGTTTAGTAAGATACTAAATTAAAAATACCCAACAACACATAAACATGCTCAAGCTTATATCTTATGTCGATACGTATTAAACAAACACAATTTGTTTTAAATTGGCGCTTTGTTGATTCAAGTTGAGAAAATTGGGAGTTTATACAAAGCAGGGAAAGGACTGGAATGTCATCAACAGCCTTTAATAGTCCACTGCTGGACATAGGCCTCTCCTTAGAAAGGAGGTCTTGGCCTACTATACCAGGCTGGCCAGACGGGTTGGTATAGGGTTTGTGTCAAGTTTGCCTTCTCTTTGCAGTTTTGTTGTCCTGTATAGTTTGCTCCCTTAGTCGGCTCTTACGACACCCACTTGATGAATGGGGGTGGTGACAATCCGTATTCTTAATCCATCACCACACGGACAGACTGGAATGTAAAGGAAGTTAATAGGAATGGATTAGCTAGCCCTAGCTCTAAACAGCGCATATAGAGATCTGAGCCCTTGATTACTATCTCAGAATTATTACTAAGTTATTAGAATAATAATCACCGGTTACTAACCGTCAGACACTCAATGTAAACATGCAGGAACCGTTCTTCAACTAATTAATATACATATGTTCACTCTCGTTGCAGGCTGCAGAGAGTTTAGCAGATTTGGTAGATGGATATTGCAGACTAGTCACAGACTCACAAACCTCGCTCTGGAACAGAACGAGTAAGTAACACACCATTATTACATTTGTAGAGGTGTTCAATTTAAAAAGTATTTTTCAGTCATTAAAGTGTCATGAAAGTCCCTTTAATTGCTTACAAATTTTTCTTTTATGTTTCAAGCAACCGTATGGAAACAGTTAAATTGTCAATGTAAAAGTAAGTAATACACAAATGCCATCAAATCAATCAATAAGCAAGCAAGAATCCTAGCAAGGTTCCTCTTTGTATCATATTGTGTAACTTTTTTTTTTTGAAAAATATTGCCAAAAGAGAATCTTTATACAATCCTGTCAACTCGCTTACAAATAACAACTGTTCCGTTACAAACCTTTTGAATAATGATGGAATATCAAAGAGCTTATAATTTAAGGTCCAGTAAATATTTCAATTCGAATCAAAATTGGTTTTAAACCGACTGCCAATTAGACGACACTATTTATATAACTAATTACGTATACGAATAAATAATTACGTATGTTGTGTTACAGCGGAGATGAGCAGCAGTTCGTCGGAAGGCAAGACGAGTTCGTGGGAAGGGAACACGGCGACGCTATCTGAAGATTACGCCGAGATTGTAGACGATGACGCTGACTATTCTACACCAGCAGGTTAATGTCATATATTAATAGATCAACGTAGAACTAGACTCAACGCCTGCATGTTGTATAGTCATGACTAAATATTTGAACTAGCTGACTCGTGCAACTTCGTCTGCGACTTTTAAAAGGAATAAATTTTCCCCGTTTTTGCAACATTCTTTATTGGTGCTCCGCTACTATTGGTCTTAGCATGATGATATATAACCTATAGCCTTCCTCAATAAATGGGCTATTTAACATTGAAAGATTTTTTGAAATCGGACCAGTAGTTCCTGAGATTTGCGCGTTCAAACAAACAAATTCTTCAGCTTTATAATATTAGTATAGATAAAACCTCGATTTATCTAATTGATAGAGTTGTGGTTATCCGCATAATCGTGACACATGAGCAATGGGTAATACTTTTCATTATTTTAATTCTTTTACAGTGTTCTAAAATAAGAAGAAGTCTTATTAAAATTGTTTTCAAACAGAGTAACAGAATAGCTTAACGTTGTTTGTTGCAGTTCGTGATTATGAGCTGGTTCGTAATCAGATAGAACTGACGGGCATCATCGGCGAAGGACAATTCGGAGATGTACATAAAGGTGAGTCGGTAATTCTACTTAGCACAAAAACTACGCGTGGCTAAGTGGCAAGCGAGTAAGTTAACACATTGTAAAATTAAGCAAACCTAGCCAGGTCAGTCTGTGGATGGGTGGCCTTTCTCAACACATTGAGATCCCTTTGTTTGTATACGTTTCAAAAACTTGAAAATTTCTGCATCTGTTAAATACTTTTTAACACATCAATCCATCATCAATTAATATTTTTGTTTCAAATGAATTACCTACCTATCTAAGGTAAATAAAAAACAACATAACAACTCCTGCATAAGGAATATATCCTGTGTCGCGAAGATTTTTACAAGCATACATGAAACGGACACAAAGAACCCCCAGACTCAGAACAACAATTTGTGGATCACACAAAGTGTTGTCCCATGTGGGAATCGGACCCATAACACTCGGCGTAGTAGAAAGCGGTATGGCGACCGCTTATTCAGTGGCAATGAGTCAGGGTGGTCACTGGCACCACCCTGACTCATTGCCACTGAATGGTGGTGCAGTGTGGAGGGTAGTACAGCCCCCGATGTGCAGGCACGTGCCGCGTGACGTCGGCCAAGCACCCGTCGCTGCGGCGCGCGGCGGGCGCGGGCGCGCTCACCAACGCGCGCGGCGAGTGCGTGCTGCCCGTCGCCGTCAAGACCTGCAAGATGGACGCCGACCTCGACACCGCGGAGAAGTTTCTAGAAGAGGCCTGTGAGTACAACTTCATGCCTTTAGTTATGTTCCAAATATGACTGAGGTCAGCACTAGACAGACGTTTAACGTTCATTTTTTAATTATACATCAAACGAATAACTAAAATCATCTGTAATAATTCTCTAAAACCTGCCAAATCTTCAAACCTAATGGATCCTCGTATACCTCACGAACGACCTCAGAAAGTCTATGAAAAGTTCTTTTGATTAAGATCAAGTTTAATGGTTAAATTTATTTAATGTCTAATTACGATGACTATTTCTGGCAGATATAATGCAGCAGTTCTCACACCCACACATAATCGGTCTAATAGGAGTGTGCAGCTCCCCGCCTATATGGATAGTCATGGAGCTCGCCACGCTCGGAGAAATGAGGGCCTACCTACAACAGAACGCTCATAGGTAACTTATTCGATGATTTATTGTTATTTAAGACTCGGAGACGAGACCCGCCAACACGCAACAGCCAGTCAGTTAGAGATATGCAAACTATTACTAACCCTTAGAAACATTATTTTTAAGCAGCGTCAAGAAACAATGTTCTCAATTAGATTAAAAGTTGCTATTTTGGGGTATGTGATTCGCAATGTCTTCGCCACTTATGATCCGATTTCAATCAAAATGAAAAATAAGTTTGATGAAAATATTCCACTTTTAAATTGACATTGACGAAAATGGGAGCAGGGGAAGCCCGTCAGACAAATTTATTACAATTGTCACAGTCGGTGATACTTTATTTTTACATTACATTACTTTTATTGACATAAAAGACCACTCAGGTTTTAATTTTTTATCAAAATAAAAAATTTGAAGTATCCAGGCCAAAGTATACTTCGTTGTTCCAGATTAGAGACGTGTAAACTAGTGTTATATATCTACCAGCTGTCCACCGCGCTCAGCTACTTGGAGAGCAAGAAGTTCGTACACAGAGATATTGCAGCTCGAAACGTACTCGTTTCTACGCCCACTTGTGTTAAGGTATGTACTGACACATTTTATGTACAGGGTGTAAGGTGCGAGGTAGTGAAAAAACGTACAAAAATCTCTGAATACTTATCAAAATGCAAAAGTCAATTCTAATAAAAAATTAAAATCTAATATTTGTAAGTAAAACTATATGAAATAGTCATCATCATCAGCCTCTAAAAATCAACTGCTGGACATAGACGTCTTTTTAGAAAGGAAGTTTTGGCCTGCTATACCACGCTATCTAGACAGGTTTGTATAGGGTTTGGGTCAAGTTTTCATCTCTTTGCAGTGCTGTTGTTCTGCGTAGTTTAGTCCCTTAGTCGGCTCTTACGACACCCACCGGATGAATAGGATTGTTGATACTCCGTATTCTCAATCTGTCACCACACGGACATAATATATATATATATATCTGTATTCATATTCAGATCTGGGATTTCATATACATATCATTCCTAGTACACCCTAAACACTAAGAAATATTTTCTTCTTCTTCGCCTCGTTCTTTAATTACTGAAGGTTGTGTCTAATTTGATACCTCGTGGATAATTTTCCGCTCTCCATCTCACTGTCTTCACCCTACAGAATAGCGGCTGTGATTAGGAGATTCATACTGCATTGATTATAACTATATAATAATGTACTAGATTATGAGACCTGGCCGTGTACAGTTAATAACTACTATCACCTTTTATGGTCAACAGTTAGCAGATTTCGGACTATCAAAGATGGTGGAAGACAAGTCGTACTACAAGGCGTCACGTGGGAAGCTTCCCATCAAATGGATGGCACCGGAGTCAATCAACTTTAGACGGTTCACTTCAGCTTCTGATGTGTGGATGTTTGGTGAGTGAGAATTAAGATTTTAATAAAACTAGACATGGCCTAAGTAGTTAGAAAGCAATTGAACTATATTCGAGCTCAAGATACTTAACAAGAATCTAAATATAGTTACCAAAATGTATGTATGTATATGTCATCAAAACTTTACTATTCTGCTTAATAAGTATTGAATATTCTACTCATAAAGACTTGGACTTTCATATTCTGTTGAATATTAATAGAATATGCATTCATCTCATCATCACAATACATGGGATGTGTTATTATTACAACACTTTTATTCTAGGTGTATGTATGTGGGAAATCCTAATGCTCGGAGTGAAACCGTTTAGTGGAGTCAAGAACAATGACGTCATCGGCAAACTAGAGAACGGCGAGCGACTGGCGTTACCTCCCAGGTGTCCGCCTAGACTGTACTCTGTCATGTCCAGGTGCTGGGCTTACGAGCCCAGCCAGAGACCGGCCGCACATCAACTAAAAGAGACCTTATTGTAAGTACTGTAGAGTAACTATTGCATTGTACAACAGGCTTTACTGCTAATTAAAACCATCTAATCTTGGCTTTGAAGTTTAGTGTTGCTAACACATGCATAGACCGCTAGAAAGGGCGCAAGAATAAATGTATAATATCATATTATAACATTTTGCGGTAAATTTTTTGATCCTAGCAACACAATGTCCATTTAAATTAAATTTGTGTTATTATCCTTAGCGATAAATTATTCAATTGTGATACCAGCTTACATTCAGGAATAAATTATAACTGATATACCGAACCCTCTAATTTTATGTAAATGTACTCAATTATGTTCCATAAGCTACATTTATTTGGGAGTAGATAGCGATAAGCAATATGCCCGACATTTTTTTTAAAGAATGACTGTAATATTCTTCACACATTACTTAAATTTTTCTACCATACCGTAGACTGTAATCTCAAATGAGTTCCTCTTCTTTGAAAAAAAACTTGCTTGAATTAATGACTTATGACGTCAAACCTTCTCAGTTTTTTAATGTTTAGTTTTACAATAAAATGTATTTTTTTTTCTGGCAAATATCCTATTAAATTAACTGCGTACGTTAGGAGTAAAGTTGTAGGTATTGTGTTAGAAGTTTGTTGACATGAGGCCCCCTTGCAGCGAGATCCTGCAGGAGGAGCGCAGCTCGGCGTGGGACACGATGCGGCGCGAGAACCGGCGCGTGGCGGCCGCGTCCTTCAGCGACGAGCCGCCGCCCAAGCCGCAGCGCCCCGCCAACAACGTGCCCGGTCAGTCACAACTGTTCATATCCGTCACTTACATACATATAGAAGCATAGAGTGAACGAGAGTTCCAATCTTGCAAAATAGGCAGCGAGAGAGATAAATAATAGATAGTCTATCTCTTTGGTTGGCTGGAGAAACTTCTATAAGTGAGTGGAAAGCTGCAATAAGAACATTTTCTATCTCCATCCATATTTTGATTGTCTCATAATTTTTGTATAAAATATGTTTGATTGCAAAATTTCATATTAAACAGTGTTTAGTTTAGTTTGGTCAGTTCGTATTTAGTTACACTGAGATTGTTTGGGTAAATTTATGTTGAGATTTAAATATCAATTCTAACTTTTTAATTAAATTTTGCAAAGTAGCATGCACAACACTAGACTGTCATTTAAAGTAGAATTACCAGAAACTCTGTATACGGTGACTAATGATTGTTTTTTTATTTCATATGCACGTATAAAATTATAACTGGTTTATGAATGTTATAAATCTCAGAAGCTATAAAACGTTATATAGATTGTAAGTACCCACAGTCACACAGGGGGTAATCTGTGTGTGTACCAAACACATACTTGCACCGGATATAAACATTTTGTTTACATTTTATCTAAAACAACACTTTATGTTAACAAAGTAACATAGTATAATAAAAAACGAGTCGGAAGAAGCAACTAACGCTCATTTTAATTACTTGAATTTGTGGATAAGTAAAACTTTAATGATGAATATGTTTGGTACCCTGTAGGAGACACAAGTTCGACGCCGGCCGGCGGCAACACGGCGCAAACGTACATCGTGGCACAAAACCCACTCGTCCTAGCGCACTTGCTGCGAGAGAACCAAGCGCGGGCGCTCCACCCGCAAGCCTACACCACTCCCGCCTCGGTATTCAACACTGTCTCCGTAGACTTCGCCGAGACACTACCGGAGACCCACGAAATTGTCGAAAAGATCATCCATCCCCGTCCAGACGAAAAGATAGACATTCCGCTCCAAACCGCCCCTATACCCGCAGCGAGTCTTCAGAAACTTGATCCCATCGTCCCCACTCCGACCGAACTTCCTGACGAGACCCTAACGGTTGTGGTAGGAGCTCACGAAAGTTGCGAAAATCTCTGTCAGAATGTGGCAAGCGTGTCGCCGCATGCTGACAACGTAGATCCTGACGCTGAAGCCACAGATTCCTATGTAGGAGAGCCTTATGCTAGTCGCGTGAGGTCCTTAGAACGCGCCCCACGAGCGTTATCCAGTGCCGAACGTGCTCCTGTACGTATGGGGTCCCTTGAGAGAAACCCACGCGGTAGTCTCTCTCATCGCGCCTCACCGGTTCCTATAGCTCCCTTAGCTCGACAGCACTCAGTGCCCGCTTCCCCACCCCCGCGTACCCGCCGTGACCAGGATATCGGCCAATTTGCCGTTCAAGGAGCTCTGAACGCTCAACTTGCAGCTAGTGTGATGAACAAAATAAGAACGCAACCTGACCCACCCCTTGTAGAAGAAATTTATGATTTCGGTGGAGATAATGTCAAAAGTTGCGTAGCAGTTGCCGCTCAAAGGGCGATGGCAAGACCACAGTATCGTCCCCCGAACATGACCGCTTCGCATCCGTCCGCTTATGGAGTCCCAGTGGCTGTGGTGCAAGGAGTACCTTACTCCCCTAAAGTACCCCCTGGATTCGTGCGCTCGGGGAGCCCCCAACCTTATCCCGCAGGCTCACATAACTTTGCTCAACAACCTATGGGAGTCGTACCCCCTATGTCGTACGGACAACAACAGATTTACACATCACATAATGTGGTATCCGGCGCGCAGCCTATGATGTACCGAGCACAGGTTGCCAGCTCGCAGGCAGGTGGACAACTGGCTACACCTGTGTATCGTCCGCCTCTGATGCACCCTGCGGAAGCGTCGGTCATGTTTGCGTCGCGTCTGGAATGTTCACCCGTTGTAGCAGCAAGCGTAGCTACTGGTGTAGTACCGCCCGTAGCAGCTGTCGTAGGTGCGGCCGCCGGCGTAGCACATACAGTACAGGTGATTGGAGAATCGTAGCCTAGTTCCTTAGATTTATTATACAGCATGTTACCATTTTAGTAGATAAGAAGAAGTGATTATGTGAGTGTGTATTTAGTAAGTGTGTGTAGATATTAATAGATATATTTTTAGAGTGCATGTGGGACAAAATAATTTTTAATATGAGGTGACGACAAAGCGCTGAAGATTTTTTTTTAATTGAAGACATTGTGTGTCAGTTTTAAATAAGTGTTATATTTGTAAATATCCTAATTCCTCCCACAACCCTTGGTAAAATACGAATTGTATATACAAGATCCTCCTTTATTTTTTATTACTTTTATTTTCTTTGGTTTTTTATTTTCAGATTTTTCTTTGTGTCATTTGGGTTCTCCGGTAGTGTTGGTTTTGTTTTATTTTTTATTTTCAATTTAATGAAATCATTTGTGTTATTTTGTTTAAGTAAAACAATTGATTTCATCATCAAAGAACTAACATTCTGGTTATCAAGAGTATTAAATACTTCCTTTATTTAGTATATCTGATATTAATATTTGGTGAATAACATCCTGCGTCACAGTACGTTTTACTAAAACAGTGTTAATAACAAAATTGTAAAATAAACTGGCAACACTACTAACAGTAATGTTGGTTCTTTAAAGTTTTTAAGTTTTTTTAAATTAGCCGTACGTACTTGCAAATGTTGCTGATTTTGTCCAAAAAATACGCAGTTTTTTATGAATTAAACACTTTCTATGTCAACATGTACATATGTGAAATCAGCGACATTTGCAGATATCACAAACAGCTTTCGAAATATCTAAAAGTACACCAGCACAACGATTTTACAGTATACACAGACACATATAAAGTGGTAATTAAAGAGCATACTGTATACAATTCACATATACAGGCTGATATTTAAGTGGTCGTAAGTAAAAGTGCTTTTATTTATTTATTTTATTTCATAAAACATGTGCTGAACTCAAGCCTGTTCTATTTAACAAGTGTAATAATAGGTCTTTACCTATGAAATTGCCGTTTTGTATGCAATAAGTGAAAGTACTTATTTTTTCAAACTTTTTTATTTCTGTTATTCGAAGTAATCACCCATGCAATCGACGCACTACCGACTATTACTTTTTCCAAAATTCAGACAACTTTTTAGTGGGTAAAAAATTCAATTCCCGAGAGGCAGTACAAAATGCCTTTGAAGAGTTTGTTGCCTCCCGTCCAGCTGATTTTTACAAGAAGGGCATCAATAAACTGCCAATGCGTTGGCAAAGATGCGTCGATTGCATGGGTGATTACTTCGAATCGCTTCTCTAAGTGATATTAAAGATTTTGAAAAAAAGTTCTTTAACAATATCATATCAATTACACTTAAGAACGCATTTCCTTTAAACGGAGAACATCGCTTAAGACGTTTCTTAATTTGCGTTATACTAATATTTTTCTTCAATGACTAACAGAATGAAGAGTGCGACAGTGAGCAGGCTGTGGAGCGGCGGTTATTGGCTGAACTCGCGCGACAACAACACCAGAGTGAAGAGGATAGAAGATGGTTGCAGATGCAAGAAGAAAACTTGGTTAGAATTGACTATTATCTATATTTCTTCTTTTTTCTTACGCACGGACTGCACGGATGGCTTAGTGGTTTAAGCGGTCACCTCCTCGCTTCCTACTGCGCTGAGTGTTGTGGGTTCGATTCCCACATGGGGCAACATGATGTATAATTCACAAATTGTTGTTCTGAGTCTGGGTGTTCTTTCTTTCCGTTTCATGAATGTGTGTAAAGTCCTAGTGCGGGAGTTGTCTTTTATATAAGAAATTATTGTCTGTATGCCCCTTTCTAATATCTCAATAGTCCAAAATCGCGTGTCCAAATCAAATAGAATTCATATAATAAACTCAATATTTATTTATATGTAGAAGTACAAAAAATAAAATGTTAAAACAAGGTCTGCAGATGTGCTATGGAAAAGTATATAAAAAAACGGCAACATGAAACTGTAGGGTCACACATACGAGTACAGGGTTACTTGATAAGTCGACCTAAATACTTTAAGGGGTTATAGTTAAAAACAGTAAAACAACATAAAATAAAGGATATAAGTCATAAAAAAAATATTAGGCAAAATTTCGTCAATTTTTATAAAAAAAATTATAAGTCTAATATCTTGAAAATTGTTTTGTTTGGGATATGGTATTTCATAGAAAGATCTATAAGAAATGATGGCAACCACAACCCCTTAAAGTATTTAGGTCGACTTACACAGTAACCCTGTATATTTTGACCTGTCAGACTATAAAAGTACAGTTCATGTTCTACTGTTTGTTGAACTGAAACGAGACATTTAAAAACTGTCTAAATTTAAGTTCCAGGAGATCTCTAGTAAAATTTTATACTCTAAAGTTCGTGAAGACACGTTCTTAGATAACCACGATAACTTTATATATAATACATATTATGTATGAGTGTATATAAAGATATGTCATATTACATTCGTTATTACAGAAGAAACGGTTATCAAACGTGCAGTTATCCACGGAGTCTGACCCGGGCGTACACACTAAGGATCCCCACGGGCCGCAGGAACACAAACCCTCTAGTCAACCGCATTCCGGTAAGTGTGAACCTTTAATTTTATATTACTGACGAACTAGGCTCAATATGTGTGTGTGTGTATACTGTAATTAATTAGAAAACTATTTACTTTTTATTCTCTTACTAGTTATATTGTGACGCCAATATTACGATTATCACTGCAGTTATTGTTAAATAAGGCATTTATACTAATATTGTTAACAGCAGAAATTTGTTCTACTGAAATCTAGAGATGTTACTAAACGTTTAGGTATATGTTTGTTATTAAGCGGGCAAAATGAGTACAACTAATTATCTGATGAATGTGTATAGGATTATTATAACTAAAATGATCGTGTATACAATATTGCAGACTCAAGCAATTCTTTATCTTAAATTTAATAAGGTTAGGTAAAAAAAATTGTATGAAATAATACATAAAGTCGACACCCTATTGTTGTCAAAACATTAAGTTTGTTGTTAATTTTATCATTAAATAAATTAAAAACATTGAGGACAACTATTAGCTATACTATTTAAGCACAGGCAGATGCCTATGCTTAAATAGTATAGGCAAATGGCTATGGGTATCTACCCAACCCAAAAATTAATAAATTAATTGTGTCACTGAGTTTCTTAGGTGTTTAGTACTTTCATTCCTAAAAGAGAAATGAAGATGTTTAAATTAGTTTTTATTGCAGCGACAAATTCATCAGAAACCAGTCCAGCAAATACAGTGAAACCTAGGGAAAAGGCCCTCAGTGAAGAAAAGGTATGTTCATTAAACATATGCATATATTGATAACGAGAGTTGTAACGAAATAATTAGGTATAAATAATTTTATTGATTTTGGAAGGTTTTTTAGGAGTAATATATTACCACAATCGCGTGGTGACGGATTAAGAATTCAGAGTGTGAACAACACCCAACGGGATGAATAGGGGACTTATCCCGTTGGGTGTCGTAAGAGCCGACTAAGGGAGCAAACTACGCAGGATAACGGCACTGCAAAGAGAAGGAAAACTTGAAATAAACCCTATACCAACCCGCGTCTGGCCAGCGTGATGGCAGTAGGCCGAAACCTCCTTTATAAGGAGAGGCCTATGTCCAGCACTGGACAATTAAGGGCTGTTGATATATTTATTAGTATATTATATTTATTTATTTATTAGGTTAACTCACAGCACATATATGTAACATTAATGGTAAAATCTCAGTAATAAGGTTCTGATATACATGCCACTTACGAGCTAACACAGCATTCACAGTTTAGACAACATATTAACAAAATGCAAATCAGCCTGTTAAATCCCTTGCATCGATTTAACAGGCTGATAGTATACCTAAGAGCCCCATGTACGCATTGAGTCTCTTTTATGCTTATCTTGAGTATGTCTGTTACTCGAATTTTATTGTAAAAGATAAATTTATTATTACTTAATCGTAAATAGTTATGTTGTCTGAAAATGCTATTTCTAAATGTCTTCTAATGAGAAAAAGGTATTCACTAGATCTATTATGGATCTTCTGAGATTGAACCTATAATATTTATTAAATACTAAAATAAATATTTGCATTAGATAGGTACTAAAAAGTGAGCGAGTTTGTAATGCAAAAATAAAATGTGCATATATATCTGTTATATATTCATTATTTTTGTAATTCCTTTGGCCGCAGGGAAAATTATAATTGATAATACGAATCGTTATATCCTCACAAGAAAAAAAAGATGTGTGGTGTCTAGGACAGTTATTTCATTCATTGGTCAAGGTATTTTTCAAAAAATAATCATTCGTTTATAATTTTTTATATAAAACAATGAAAAAGTTGAATAACAGCAAGTTGTTTAAAGAAAAGCAGTTATTTTTATAAAAAACCATTGATTGCAGAGAAATTTGTTTGAGATTGGTTTCATTTATTCCTCATCAAATTCCCTATAAATATTATACTTATCATATACGTCTTGATCTATGATGCGTTGTTCTCGAGTTATTAAATAACAATGCGCAATGCAAGTAGAGGGATTACTTTCTCCCTCTCTTGCTCGCCAGGGATTGAATGCAGAGCAAGAGAGATAGCGACTCACGATTTTTCGTAACGTACGCTTCTTCTCGTGAAATCCCTTAAGCATAAGCAAATTCGTGCCGCTAAATAAATATTTACTAAATAAACTGTGTGGATCGATTTACTGCTTGAATCGTTTAAAATAAAATTCCTGTTAACGATGACGTATGTATCGTATGACAGCCGAGCAGCAGGGCGGCGCCTCGCACGGACCCGGTGTACGCGGCGACGACGGGCGTGGTGCGGTGCGTGATGCGGCTGGCGGGCGGCGCGGCCGGGAACGCGGCCCCGCCCGACGCCGTGCTCGCCGCCGTGCGCGCCGTGGGCAGCGAGCTGCGCGCGCTCTGCGCCACCGTCGACCGCCTCGTCGTGCCCTTCCCCGCGCACGCGCAGCGGTAACTACTGCACCCACTCATATATACACGCGCTCTGCGCCACCGTCGACCGCCTCGTCGTGCCCTTCCCCGCGCACGCGCAGCGGTAACTACTGCACCCACTCATATATACACGCGCTCTGCGCCACCGTCGACCGCCTCGTCGTGCCCTTCCCCGCGCACGCGCAGCGGTAACTACTGCACCCACTCATATATACACGCGCTCTGCGCCACCGTCGACCGCCTCGTCGTGCCCTTCCCCGCGCACGCGCAGCGGTAACTACTGCACCCACTCATATATACACGCGCTCTGCGCCACCGTCGACCGCCTCGTCGTGCCCTTCCCCGCGCACGCGCAGCGGTAACTACTGCACCCACTCATATATACACGCGCTCTGCGCCACCGTCGACCGCCTCGTCGTGCCCTTCCCCGCGCACGCGCAGCGGTAACTACTGCACCCACTCATATATACACGCGCTCTGCGCCACCGTCGACCGCCTCGTCGTGCCCTTCCCCGCGCACGCGCAGCGGTAACTACTGCACCCACTCATATATACACGCGCTCTGCGCCACCGTCGACCGCCTCGTCGTGCCCTTCCCCGCGCACGCGCAGCGGTAACTACTGCACCCACTCATATATACACGCGCTCTGCGCCACCGTCGACCGCCTCGTCGTGCCCTTCCCCGCGCACGCGCAGCGGTAACTACTGCACCCACTCATATATACACGCGCTCTGCGCCACCGTCGACCGCCTCGTCGTGCCCTTCCCCGCGCACGCGCAGCGGTAACTACTGCACCCACTCATATATACACGCGCTCTGCGCCACCGTCGACCGCCTCGTCGTGCCCTTCCCCGCGCACGCGCAGCGGTAACTACTGCACCCACTCATATATACACGCGCTCTGCGCCACCGTCGACCGCCTCGTCGTGCCCTTCCCCGCGCACGCGCAGCGGTAACTACTGCACCCACTCATATATACACGCGCTCTGCGCCACCGTCGACCGCCTCGTCGTGCCCTTCCCCGCGCACGCGCAGCGGTAACTACTGCACCCACTCATATATACACGCGCTCTGCGCCACCGTCGACCGCCTCGTCGTGCCCTTCCCCGCGCACGCGCAGCGGTAACTACTGCACCCACTCATATATACACGCGCTCTGCGCCACCGTCGACCGCCTCGTCGTGCCCTTCCCCGCGCACGCGCAGCGGTAACTACTGCACCCACTCATATATACACGCGCTCTGCGCCACCGTCGACCGCCTCGTCGTGCCCTTCCCCGCGCACGCGCAGCGGTAACTACTGCACCCACTCATATATACACGCGCTCTGCGCCACCGTCGACCGCCTCGTCGTGCCCTTCCCCGCGCACGCGCAGCGGTAACTACTGCACCCACTCATATATACACGCGCTCTGCGCCACCGTCGACCGCCTCGTCGTGCCCTTCCCCGCGCACGCGCAGCGGTAACTACTGCACCCACTCATATATACACGCGCTCTGCGCCACCGTCGACCGCCTCGTCGTGCCCTTCCCCGCGCACGCGCAGCGGTAACTACTGCACCCACTCATATATACACGCGCTCTGCGCCACCGTCGACCGCCTCGTCGTGCCCTTCCCCGCGCACGCGCAGCGGTAACTACTGCACCCACTCATATATACACGCGCTCTGCGCCACCGTCGACCGCCTCGTCGTGCCCTTCCCCGCGCACGCGCAGCGGTAACTACTGCACCCACTCATATATACACGCGCTCTGCGCCACCGTCGACCGCCTCGTCGTGCCCTTCCCCGCGCACGCGCAGCGGTAACTACTGCACCCACTCATATATACACGCGCTCTGCGCCACCGTCGACCGCCTCGTCGTGCCCTTCCCCGCGCACGCGCAGCGGTAACTACTGCACCCACTCATATATACACGCGCTCTGCGCCACCGTCGACCGCCTCGTCGTGCCCTTCCCCGCGCACGCGCAGCGGTAACTACTGCACCCACTCATATATACACGCGCTCTGCGCCACCGTCGACCGCCTCGTCGTGCCCTTCCCCGCGCACGCGCAGCGGTAACTACTGCACCCACTCATATATACACGCGCTCTGCGCCACCGTCGACCGCCTCGTCGTGCCCTTCCCCGCGCACGCGCAGCGGTAACTACTGCACCCACTCATATATACACGCGCTCTGCGCCACCGTCGACCGCCTCGTCGTGCCCTTCCCCGCGCACGCGCAGCGGTAACTACTGCACCCACTCATATATACACGCGCTCTGCGCCACCGTCGACCGCCTCGGTCGTGCCCTTCCCCGCGCAACGCGCAGCGGTAACTACTGCACCCACTCATATATACACGCGCTCTGCGCCACCGTCGACCGCCTCGTCGTGCCCTTCCCGCGCACGCGCAGCGGTAACTACTGCACCCACTCATATATACACGCGCTCTGCGCCACCGTCGACCGCCTCGTCGTGCCCTTCCCCGCGCACGCGCAGCGGTAACTACTGCACCCACTCATATATACACGCGCTCTGCGCCACCGTCGACCGCCTCGTCGTGCCCTTCCCCGCGCACGCGCAGCGGTAACTACTGCACCCACTCATATATACACGCGCTCTGCGCCACCGTCGACCGCCTCGTCGTGCCCTTCCCCGCGCACGCGCAGCGGTAACTACTGCACCCACTCATATATACACGCGCTCTGCGCCACCGTCGACCGCCTCGTCGTGCCCTTCCCCGCGCACGCGCAGCGGTAACTACTGCACCCACTCATATATACACGCGCTCTGCGCCACCGTCGACCGCCTCGTCGTGCCCTTCCCCGCGCACGCGCAGCGGTAACTACTGCACCCACTCATATATACACGCGCTCTGCGCCACCGTCGACCGCCTCGTCGTGCCCTTCCCCGCGCACGCGCAGCGGTAACTACTGCACCCACTCATATATACACGCGCTCTGCGCCACCGTCGACCGCCTCGTCGTGCCCTTCCCCGCGCACGCGCAGCGGTAACTACTGCACCCACTCATATATACACGCGCTCTGCGCCACCGTCGACCGCCTCGTCGTGCCCTTCCCCGCGCACGCGCAGCGGTAACTACTGCACCCACTCATATATACACGCGCTCTGCGCCACCGTCGACCGCCTCGTCGTGCCCTTCCCCGCGCACGCGCAGCGGTAACTACTGCACCCACTCATATATACACGCGCTCTGCGCCACCGTCGACCGCCTCGTCGTGCCCTTCCCCGCGCACGCGCAGCGGTAACTACTGCACCCACTCATATATACACGCGCTCTGCGCCACCGTCGACCGCCTCGTCGTGCCCTTCCCCGCGCACGCGCAGCGGTAACTACTGCACCCACTCATATATCCACGCGCTCTGCGCCACCCGTCGACCGCCTCGTCGTGCCCTTCCCCGCGCACGCGCAGCGGTAACTACTGCACCCACTCATATATACACGCGCTCTGCGCCACCGTCGACCGCCTCGTCGTGCCCTTCCCCGCGCACGCGCAGCGGTAACTACTGCACCCACTCATATATACACGCGCTCCTGCGCCACCGTCGACCGCCTCGTCGTGCCCTTCCCCGCGCACGCGCAGCGGTAACTACTGCACCCACTCATATATACACGCGCTCTGCGCCACCGTCGACCGCCTCGTCGTGCCCTCCCCGCGCACGCGCAGCCGGTAACTACTGCACCCACTCATATATACACGCGCTCTGCGCCACCGTCGACCGCCTCGTCGTGCCCTTCCCCGCGCACGCGCAGCGGTAACTACTGCACCCACTCATATATACACGCGCTCTGCGCCACCGTCGACCGCCTCGTCGTGCCCTCCCCCGCGCACGCGCAGCGGTAACTACTGCACCCACTCATATATACACGCGCTCTGCGCCACCGTCGACCGCCTCGTCGTGCCCTTCCCCGCGCACGCGCAGCGGTAACTACTGCACCCACTCATATATACACGCGCTCTGCGCCACCGTCGACCGCCTCGTCGTGCCCTTCCCCGCGCACGCGCAGCGGTAACTACTGCACCCAAGCATTGTAAAAAAAGTCTAGTGAACATGACTTTTAGAATTTCACAGGTGCTTCAAATAGTATCATAATTTATTACAGGGAGGTGGAGATGGCTCACCAGGTGTTGAGCAAAGACATGGCGGCCCTAGTGGAAGCGATGCGCCTCGCTATACAATACCATAACACCACCCTGCAGCATGAGTACTCAAAGTAAGCCGAACGTATCCAAAATATATATTTAGTATAAAAATCGACCTATTTTTTTATATTGCTTACAAACAGCTTATGAATAATCTATACTTATAATATTATAAAGCTGAAGAGTTTGTTTGTTTATTTGCTTAAACGCACTAATGTCCGATTTGAAAAATTCTTTCAGTGTTAGATAGCCCATTTATCGAAGAAGGCGTAAAGGGTTAAAGTTTCGCAAAAATCATGTATGACAAATTTGTTCTAAAATAATGCATTATTTGCGAACGTGTTTTTTTATAAACATGATATTAATTTTATCCAAATAAATACGTCATTCATCACAAGTATTTAATTTAAAACAAAATTGCCCTGTACATAATTCGATTTCAATAAATAATTTAGGAGATATCGCAGATTTAAAATAACATCGCAGCAAAATAATGATCAAGTACTGCGCGCGCATTTATGATGTGCAAGGCCAGCCGGCAGTCATGAGGGGGAAGGGCGGTGGCCCCAGTTAGCTCTGCGAGATACCATGCCGCGCGGCTCAAACGCGTGGAGCGTTGAACGGTTGTGCTGAGCGAACTACTTTTTAAATTTGTTTTTCCAAAAATGGGCCTCTGAGAATGGCCCTTGTGTTGCTAAGAAACCTTAAACCACCAAATTTATGCAACGGAACCAGACTCCAATAAAAATTTCTTCGCTAAACGTGATTGATACTACGGTTTTGACTGCTCCAGCAGTAGGGCAAACAGTGCTGATACCTCGCATTCCAATGATACCAACGGATTTGCCTTTTAACTTTAAAAGAATTCAATTTCCGATGAAAGTATTGTTTGCGGTAAATTTATAAGGCCCAGGTGCATTTAAGCACGTAGGAATAGATTTACGCCAAAAGTGTTTTTCGCACGGGCTATATGTTGCCCTATCGAGATCTGGTTCTTCTGGTTCTTGGTAGGTATATCTATCTGGTTCTGGTGAAAATCAATATCTACTTCTGCCGAAATAAAACAAAACTAAAAATATAGTGTACGCAGAAGTACTTTAAAATAACATTCGTTTTGAGTTTTTTTGTTAATAACCTACTATCTACATGGTGATATATATAAGACCCAGTACTTTTACCTAACGTTTTAAAGTTCCACTCTTACTGATAAAAGCGTGATGTAGGTATCTTAAATAGCTCCTTAACGTATGTATTATTTAAAAATAATTTCACCTTCTGCGTAAACGAAGTCGCGGGTTAAAGTTAGCGTTAGCCCAAAGTAACTTTTTCACGCGGACGAATTCGCGGGCAGAAGCTAGTTATTCGTATAAGTATCACATTTATTGCAAGAAAATTAATTTCTAAGTATTTCAATTTCTGATTGTTAGATTCCAATTTCAAATCTATACCTCAATAATGTGTAAAACTGTATTCCTAGAAAGTATTCGTCCAATATTTTACCAGTATGTTCAGAAACATATCTAAACTATTTATTTTTCTAAGTATACATTTATATTTCTTAGGAACATGCTAGCAGCGGCCCACATTCTAGCGATGGACGCCAAAAACCTGCTCGACGTAGTTGATTGCATCCGCGACAGACATCCCAACATCGACTGGCGAGCCGCCCTCGAACCAGACCTCGAGCCTTCCAGCCCCAACACCAACAATATTATACCTCAAAACCAAACACTCCAGTCACAAAACCAGGTTTTCGAAGCCCATAACCAAAGCTTCATACCTCAAAACCCCGTCCTAAGTAACCAATCTTCGGTACAAGAAGATGAACCCCCGTCGCCGAAGCCCGACTTTAAAATAAATCAGCCCGTCACTACCAGTCAGCTGATGCTCACAGAACACCCACCCAAAGAACACTCAAGTCTTCCGGGAACTTCGAATAGAGTATCTGCGCTTATACATAATTATAATCTGTATGGGAACGTCGAACCGCAACATATATATGGCAACACCGAAGGGTCTTCGTTTCAATACCCGTCGTCGGGATCGGATGACGTGAAAGTAGATTCGGCGCCTATGGCATCCGTCAAAAGCCGAGTTCAAGCGCTAGCTGGCAAGCTGGACTCCCCCCCTATTTACTCAGTTAGCAAAAAAATGATCCCGCTCGACCAAAATATTATCCACACTGATCAGGGGTGAATAAACGTCGAAATGTTTAGTTTCGCTTGTAGTGGCAATTTTTATTTACGTCAAATGACGTTACCAGCTTTACGCTAGGCTATGACATAATTGTAGAACGACTAGTGTACTCCTCCGGATATGCTCATGTAGCACTTACTATTTATTTGCCGCTTGAAATTCTCTATAGTGCGACGCTTATTTGGAAAAGACAAACTATGCTCAATATTACCCGTAGCGATTTAAGTGAGCCAAATAATTGTCGTTATAACCATCCATGTAACTATGTTCGTTTATTGAATATCAGAGTTGTTCATATATACATACATATAACCGATCAAATTGCTGTTTGTATGGATAGTGGAGGGTTCCAGAATGTTGATGTTGGAAAGACGAAATGTGTAAACGCTGGACTCGTTGCTTATTTTACAAATACCAAATTACCGAAAACCTTGTACACAATATAAATGTATTTACACAATATACATAAAATTCCTTGTGTATTTAATAATCGTGCTACAATATTAGGAAATACTGTACGTACTTTAATAATTTTAGCAATTTGCGGCCTAATTTAAATGCAAGGCGTTTTGTCTTTTCATCATCAGATAAATTAAAGTTATTTAGGTGCTGTTCCTTGCTCCTTGTGCTTTTTGATAGAGGTTCAATTATAAAGCTTTTTAATCGTTGTTACTCGATGCTGCGCTATCTGTACAAACATATCTACTATACGTTGAATCATTTTAGTGATATCTATTGACATATCATCAGCATTGTTGTGCTTCAAATAAATATGTCGTGTTGCCTACTTCGTGAATATTATTGTTCGACATATCTCTTCGTTCTCGTTTCTGTACCCACCCATCTGTCTCGTTCAACACACACACATACACACACAAACACACTGTCATATGACGTCGCTTCACGTACACGTGCGAAGCGTTGCCGCCTTGTGAAGAAGACTGGCTTCTTCGATTCCCGGCAACCTCACATCATGTTTTTATGTGTCGGCCCGTCATCCCAAGAAACTGTTGATTGTGAAATGATGATAATATTGATTTGTGATATTATTGCCAATAAAAATTTAATACCTTTATAATAAGAACGGCTATCGCAGGTCAGCACATTTCTTGATACGCACGTAACGAGTAAGTTTGTAGTTATTTTCATACAAATTTTATATTTTTGGTGTAAAGGTGTTACAGTGTTTATACTCGGCCCGTACTGGTGGTGCCCGTGGTGCATACGTGTAAGTGTAACAGAATCAAATCTTCCATTAAACAATAATAATTGTGTAACTGATGTCGTTTCAAATTTATTATAAAGTATTATTTTTTAATGTAAAATGTATTACTGTGAGTATAGCGTGTATATTTTCCGTTAGATAAGGGTGCGTTTACAGTCACAATATAATGTAACATGTGCATTTAATTCTTTATACATTCATACGCAGTATTCAACAGGATTTGAATAATTTTCTTTGTAAAAATGTACAAAACAATTTGTCAATAATTATATTAATTTTTATCCAAAGTTTTTTATTATAAGCTTAGATCTCAGAAGGAATTTGTAGCGTACGTTAAATCGATTAGTTTTGTAATTAAGAAATGAGAATTTATTTATTGACGAATCTTCGATTTATTTGTAAAGTTGATTTTCCTAATGTGTTAGAATTAAGCAGGATATCATTCCAAAGTATATGGTTATAGTGAGCAGTGATTATAGTCCATGTATCGTAGTGAGCTGCCCGAGATTATTTTCCAAATATCTGTTAATGGTGGACCGGTTTTTGTTTACGCATTGAATAAAGGACAAGTCAATCATTATTATATTGGTTTTACTCAATCCCATCTTCTTTCTCTATCTTCAACATCATTGTTATGTTCGATAGCTGTGGTTCTGGTAGAAATAAATAACGAGACTTATGAACTTGGTACATTTGATATTGTAACTTAAAATTTATATTCGAGTACATTCCGCACACGACGCGTGCCGACCAGCAAAAAGATCGATCAAGATGGCGATCGGTGAATCGTAGGGAGGCGCCCCCCGCGTCTCGTACATAGGGAAGGGAAACCGCAACATCATTAGTGCCTTATACATGTATATTTTTAATATGTGTTGAGCTCTAGATATAAGGCCAATACGCAAATATTGTAGGCCAACATACTTAGCAAAGCTTTTATTAATTGGAGATCATAATAAAATAAAACATATTTAGACAAATTTTGTTTATTAAAAAATGCAAAACAAACATTGCTATTTGGTTAGCGATAAGTGACACTTGACAAAATAAACTGTGCAACTTACATTCATGACGTCTACAAAGAGTTATAATAAATTACAAGCATAGAACACTCCTTTTTTCCTTTTATTTTTCTACAGTAAACGTCGCCGATTAGGCAGCCTGAGGACAGAAATAGATTTTAAACATTTAGACTACCATTATTAATCTTAATTCCCACTAATAAACAGACTATCCCGCGAATATAATCAACGTGGAGATCCCGCGAATGTCTAATTTCCTAATGTCTAAGTTCCACTAAAGTTGTTATGTCAATAGTCTAAAAGAAGCATCCGTCAGATGTCAAAAAAATTCGTGGTAATCAAACTATTATTATAATGCAACTATTAATACATACTGGTTGTTCTAATATGGAGCTATGGGAGTATCAGAACGCCAATTTAATGAATCTTTGAATTTCCTTTCTCTGCTCAACCTTTATCATTAATAAAAAGTTGAACTTCTGTTTTGGATGGTATAATTATTTGTCTATAATATGTATATACATATCCTAGTAATACGTAACTATGTTTATCAGCTGTCTGAATATTTTAGTATAAGTTTTCGGGTTGATTTTTATATCGCACTTCACTAAAGTCATCACATAAGCATATCTGCTACAGCTGAACTTGTTGGAATTAGAACGTAAGCGTAACTGAATAAGCCACAAATCCTCTCCACTGCCTGCTACGAAAAGCCTTTAAAATAAGCAATATAATATTATGCACTACTTGGAACCTCATCATTAACAAGTGCTACGTGTGGAAAGTGTCATACGAATGCGGTGACCGTGACGACCGAGTAGATGTGAAATAAACTCACACAAGGCCCTCTGTTGTGTTGTCTCGTGCTCACTGTAGAGGGCGCACGACAGTCGTCGTTATCAGTATTGCGTGAGCCACTGACGCGTACAGACGTAGTAGGTTAACGAGCATTTATGATGTTGAATAGTTTTGTAGACTGTGTCACTGTAGCATATTGTGGTTGCATTGATGAAAAATGAAGAACAAAACTAACGCGAAAAATAGATTAAAACAATCTTTGAGGCGGCTTCAGAAGTTTTTGAAGCGTACACAAACCAACTTGATTTATATTTACTAGCTGTACCCTGCCACGCAGCGCTTGATGTGAAATGAGGAACACAACCGATGCGAAAAATACATTAAAACCGTTTTTGAAGCGGATTGTATATCGGTGTGCGTTGCCCCAGAAAAGTTCGAATTTCATTATTTGAGTTAAACAGATATTTAGTGTATGACGCCGTGTAATAGTGTATGGTGAGTAAAAATTTGTGCATCCAAACATTGGGAAGTTGTTCACGAAAAAGTGCCGCTAGGTCAACGTATATCGTGTTAAAATTTGGGCTCAATCGGTTCTGCATCGTTTGATCCCAATTTTTTTTCTTTCGAGTTTTTGAGGCGAACATACAAACATAACACTTTTATAGATAGATATAAGATAATAACTTTAACAAACAAATCATCATTTAATGTCAGTAGGTTGTGTAAAATAAAATACCATGAATGAGGTTCAACATAAGCTGTTAATGTATTTAGAGAAGTCGCCATACTATCACACAATATTATATAATACAAGAGTATTCTACATTACATTACATAGATTCGGTTATTAATTGCTTTAGGAAGGCGCCTCAAACGTATTGTCTCTATCTTTGATTTAATTATATTTTTATAAAGATAAACCAGCTTTATTTTAAGCTGAAAGCCTCTTAGGCTTTCAGCTTAGTTTCTCCGAAGGCACAATATTGACGGGCCCTTTGGTATAGCGATCAGTAATCTTGACTGCTAGAAAGAGTTCGTGGATTCGATTACCACAAGTAATGAGGTACGATCGTTTGTTATGTGTGTAGCTGTAATTTATCTATAATATGTAAGTATTTAAAAATATATAAGTATGTTTATCAGAAGGCTGGTTACCATGGTACAGGACCTACCTAGTTTGGGATCAGACACCTCTATTGTGATGTGTCAAGTTATTAAGTTATTATTATTATTACAAAAATATATTTTTTCATTAAGTAAGTAGTTAAGCCAAATTCTTTTGCTAGAAGTGTTTTTCGGAAAAAGTCTTGAAGAGTTACGTTCCTAATGCGAAATGATCGTTCGAGACAAGAGTAAACTTGATAAAAACGGACCTTTGACAAGTTAGGAGCCCGTAAAAAGAAAAAGAAATATTTCACTTAAGCATTGCACTGGCTGGAGGTGTCACCTTAGTAATTACTCAATTTATTACTAATTGTGTCAGACGGTGAAATAATTATGAAAAACCACTGTCTTTGCCCCATAAGCCTTGTATCACACACGCGCTAGTTTTTGTCAGTCACTAATGTCACTATCGTAGCGAGGTACATATTATGAAATCTAACATGTAGCTCGCATAAGGCGCCCTCCTAAGCTAACGCATTAAATCCACGCAGCACAGTGTACTAGTTTTATAAAGCTTGAGTAAACAATAAACAAAACTGTTTTTCGTATTAGAATCAAAATCTTCTGAATGAAATAACTTTATTTTCCTTAAGATATAGGTACATCTATTTATTGATAATTATTTGTTACCTTCGTCCACTTCTGCAAGGTGAATAAGTAAAAATATACAAGCTGTATGTTTGCCAATTATTTCTATAAATTTCCTCATATTTGTTGATCAATAATGTGTTCTATTTAGTTTAAACTTTAATCCATTCGCGTTAAGAACATAGTGACGCATATTTATTTTCCTAACACGAATAGAAAATGTGTTATTAATAATAAAATGCCACATGTTTATAGCTTTAGTGATGATGTTTAAACTGATTTTAAATCATCAATCATAACGTTTGCATAAATCGATCGATTAACAGAACAATAAAATTGACAATCGAACGAATCTAGCATTAATTAACAAATAAAGTTGAAAAATATTGAACTACAAAAATGGATAAGGTTTTAGTGTTTCGAGACTCTAGAATTTGACCTACACAAAGACAGGTGTCCATAATACCTATGACATTAAAATTAAATGTCATTTATTAAAATACTTTGGCTGACACTGACCATTTTAGTAATAGTCATTAAGGTATTTGGGACACTAAATCCACATATCCGTAAAAGCAAAATAAAACAGGATGTTACGTAAAACCGCCTTTAGCCGTTGGTATGTTTAATATTTATTATTATTAATGGCATTATTTATATTTCATAGTTGCAATCGGTAAGTATCGAGGCAAAAGTAATTTAATTGTTCTAAAAAAATTAATAGTGAGTTCACGAACACTCTTGTTAGACAGTACAGACACACAAATACTATTCGCATTCGTGACTCGACAGACCACTATATATATTTGAAAATTAGTAACATTTCATGACATTATAATGATCACCATAAATATCACGGTCATTAAAATCATATTGATTATCACCAAGGGTGATCATTTAGATGCAAACTATGGCGCTAGTGACACAGTATATGTATTTAAACATTAAATACATAAAAAGATAAAATAAATATATGCAACTCTTAACATTTATACATTTTTTTTATGGCAATAGACGAGCTGTCCACAGATACTTAATATTGAGTGCATATATGTATTTTACTAGCATACTATGGTATATAAAAAAATAAACATGACAATTTACACATTAAATGAAATATTATATGATTCAAGTTCATACTTTTATCGACCTCTCAGTACTCGTGTACTGGACCACAGGCCACACTAGCGCCATCTGCCTGCCACATCTGTGCAACTTAGCACCTAACAGTCCAAGAAGTTTGCAGCCATGAGCAATTCCAGTGCGATCTCCGGCGCGATCGGGAACTCGGGGATTTCAGTAGATGAATTTGTGTAGCGCACCTTGTATGTGAAATACATGCACACCTTTTGGAGAACGTGCGAACTGGAAAAGCAAATGTTTATTTTAACAATTATTTATATTTAATATATATTATTATAATTATATATATTAAATATATTATGTAATTTTTAATTATATATAAATATAATTATATATATCACATAATTATACCCTAAAACATGAGAAAAACTTTTTTTATTAAAGGTCCTAGAGCAGTTATCAGTTAGCAATAAACAAATTCAAGCTTCAGCACATAATATGAGTCGGCTTGACTGGAGCGATACCACAGCCTCATAGAAAACCGACATTCAGCAAATCTTTTGTTGCATTGCACCAAATGAGGTTATCAGATGCTCAATCTTCCCCTAATTCTGGAAGGGGAGCACTCAAATACCAGCACTAACCTTTGTCTCTCAACCTCAGTTCTCACAGAATTGCATGTGTCCATGGGCAAAGGTGTCATTAACCATCAGGTGAACTGTCTGCTCTTTGGCCCACATAGGTCAATAAATTTTTTTTTTCCTATCCTTGTAAAATAATGATAATGGAGTAGGTAATGTTATTCAATAAACTCACGGTATCTCCCTAAAGTTGACTTCATTGGCCTCATTCTCAGCAAACTGTCCGGGACCGCTCAACATAGCCTTGATAGTACCAGAGGTCAGTGCATGTTCTCTCTTTACAATGAACTCGTGGCCATCAGATGAGATCAGCTTCACATACATGGCATTAGGTCCCTCACAGCCACCGTATACCTTCTCTTCTGAAGCAATACTGCCTTGCTGGCTTCCTGAAAATCAATAAGTGGAAACTGAGTAAGTTAACACGTTGCAAAGTTAAGCAATCCCAGCTAGGTCAGTCAATGGATGGCTGACCATTCTTAACACCGTGCGCCGCCGTTGGACTCGGCGACCTATATCGTCATGTCCGACAGTGTCAGAAGTAGATATTAAGGTCCAGTTAGCAATAGTTAGTCATGAATAGAAAACGAGAAGAGTCCAAAAATACAAGCCAAGTATTACAACTAGGTACTTGGCTAGGTACTAGGGTTGTATTCTAATTCATAATAAGTTTTTTTATCAACTGTAATACTACCCTAGACTATTATACCTTATTGGATAGCTGACAATACGTACGTTTTTTAATAAAAAAAAATGTTAAATTAACTTAACTGTTATAGATTTTTTTAATATTTGTCAAAGAAAAAATCTTTTTACAATTTTTATTTTTATTTTTGCAGTTGCCAGTTTGTTAAGTTAACTACAATTTTGGTGATGGAAATTATTACGGCACGACGTACGGCATACAACTATGGGGAACAGCCTCACACTCCAACATAGAGATCTTACAACGTTTTCAAAACAAAATGCTGCGCATAGTTACCGGTGCCCCATGGTTTGTGACTAACGAACAACTGCACAACGATCTAAAGATACCTACAATCAGGGAGTAAATAACTAGACACACTAAGGCATACAGGGACAGAATATCAAACCACCCAAATATATTTTTTTTTTTTTTTATAGTTTCCCCTCACGGTTAAACCACCATGAGGGGGAGTTTATTAAATTATTATGGTACATTCTGCTATTTGATACAGAAATATTTGAGTGCGTTATGTGTTATTAAATTCTTTAAGTGTGTTAACTATAAGGGTGAGGTGAGTCATAAAGGTATGGATGGCGGTGTTGTTGGTGATCAGTAATGTTAAATTATATGGGTCTAAATTAAAGTGGTGACAGAGTTGTTCATGGTTGAGTCTTGTGCGAGTGTATCGTGGGCATTCCGTAATGAGGTGTCTAAATGTCTGGGTAGTTGTGTTGTCGCAGGGGCAGGTGTTGTCGTCTGTAATATGAAATCTGTGTAGGTATTGTTTGTGGTAGCCGTGGTTGGTGAGTAATTGTGTGAGTGCGAATGTGTGTCCTGTTATGTCGATAAGTTTATATAGGTGTGTAAGTGATGGGCACCAAGTTTTAATAATGGTTCCTTTGACATTATCAGCATATCTGTTACAAGCTACGTCATGGCTATCAGTTTTGGCCTTTTTTGTGACGTAGCTTATCGGGAAGTGCTTGAAAATGGGTGAGTAGGATTCGGAGGCCGCAGATTTAGCGGCTATGTCAGCAGCCTCATTGCCGTGTATGCCCGTATGAGCTTTAACCCATACAAAGTTAATTTGTGTGTGTGTGGTATGCAAAAACTTTTGTATGTTAGTGGTAACTTGATGTGTGCTATAAGTGTTGCTAATGTCTTCCAGAGCTGACCTGGAGTCCGACATGATGAAAGCTATATCAACCTGTTGCTTGTGTAACCACTGACAGGCTTGGTCGATGGCCACCAGTTCAGCCTGAAAGACAGTACACGATGAATGTAGCTTGTATGTTCTGGTGATACGGGTGTTTTGTGGAGTACGTACCACAACGGCAGCTCCCACTAAGTCGTCGTGCTTACTGCCGTCAGTGTAGATGTGGTGTGCATGTTGTTGATTGATTAAGATGTCGTCTAATTCAGTTTGTGTACTGATAATGTCAAAGGAGTGTGGTTGTCTGTGTGCCGGGTGAAGTAAATGAGATGGTTCAGTAGGTGTATCAAGTGTGACATCGAGTGGGAGGCAATCGGTGAGCCCTGTAATTCTAGTTGATTCGATTCGTGCTCTTTCTTTGACTTTAAGGTCAAGTGGTGTGAGTGTAGATATTGCTATGGCGTTAATGGTGTTAATGGTGCGGAATCCTCTAATTATTTTGAGAGCAAACCCTCTTTGTAGTGATAATAGTTTATTACAGTTGGTTTTGAAATTTAGAGCAGTGTGCCATACGCTGGAAGCGTAGCATATTATGGGTTCTATTACCCCCCTATAGAGTGTGAGTATGTTTTGAGAGTGTACTCCCCAGGTGGGTCTGATGAATTTAGTGAGTGTGTTATGTAGAATACGTGCTTTGTTAGTGATATAGTTTACATGTTGTGTGAAGTGTAAGTTGTCGTCGATGATCACCCCCAAAACTCTAGCAGTCCGGCTGAATGGGATGTGCGTATTGTTCATGGTTAAGTGAAGAAGTTGAGTTTTATTAGTGAAGGCTAAAGCGATGGTTTTGTCAGGTCCAAAGGTAAGTTTATTAGTGTTGCCCCATTCTTGAATGGTCTGTAAACTTTGATTGATATTGTTTTGGAGAGTGATGAGCTTTTTGTGTGCGGCTATTAGAGTGATGTCATCTGCAAAGGCCTGCAGCTGGCACCCCTCCGGAAGTCTGCTCCCAGACGAGTCACTGGACATGTCCAGTAGTTCGTCCAAAATCAGATTCCAGAAGGTCGGCCCACATACAGACCCCTGGATGCATCCCCTACTTAGTTGTTTAGTGGCGGTGGCGTCAGAATATAATAGGGTAGCCGTACGATCTGATAAGTAATTTTGGATGATGGTGTACATGTTTTTAGGGCATTTGGTGTGGTGTAATCGTGCGAGTATGGCAGGCCACCAAGCATGATCGAATGCAGCTTTAATATCGAGGGAGATCATCGCGACATGTAATCCCTTCTTTTTGTGTGTTTTGATAGTATTGACTATGTTGGTGAGTGCGTGTACTGTAGAGGTTTGTTGCTTGAATCCATATTGTCTTGTGTTATGCGTATGTGTAATATTTAGGTGATGTGTGAGGCGTTGAGTAATTAATTTTTCAAGTGTTTTACCCAGTATAGGTAACAGTCCTATAGGGCGATATGAGGATGAAGAAGTGTAATTGGATTTATTGGGTTTCGGAATTATTTTAATTATTGCATGTTTCCATGTTTTGGGGAAAACAGAGATTGATAGGCAGCGGTTCATGAGCCCAGTGATGATTTCAGGGAAACATAGAGCAAACTGATAACAAATGTCAGAGGTAAGGTGGTCTGCACCCGGGGATTTGGAGGGATTCATGTTTTTCAAGATAGTAGTTATTTCATGTTGTGTAAATGGAGCATCGTCTTCAGTGTCGGGTGGATTGTGCGTTTGATTACGAGTGGAGTTCTGTGTGGGAGTGTCAGGTGTGTCATCAGGGTAAAACTTATTGAGGAAAGCTGTTGCAGTTTGGTGACTCGATGTGGTATGTATGCCGGGTGACAGTTCAATGGTTGACGGTGGCCTCTGAGGAGGCGCCCTCTTCATAATTCGGTTGGTAACCGACCACACATTTTCTTTACCCTGTCTATTGCAGAATTCCCGAAAGTGTTCAGTCGAAGCAATTTTGATTGCTTGAGCGTATGCTACTTTGAGGGTGTCCCTTTCAGCGAGAGCATCGGTGAGTGGTTGGTTTTTATGTTTGAGCTGTTGTAATTTATGGTGGTTTGCTATCACCTGTTGTTTCATGATGTCTAGTTGGTCGGTCCACCAGGGTGACCGTGGCGAACCTCGACCTGTGCGTGGCAGATGTAGGTTGCAGGTGTTCTGTATGAATTTTGTAAGTTTTTTAGTGTACATGTCTATGTCCTGTTGTGTGTTTAGAGTATTGTAGTCGGTAGAATGTAGGTCCGTATGTAGTATTTGTTCTTTAAAATGCTCCTTTAGTTCATCCCAATTTCTATAGAATTTAGTGTTGTATCTAAATGTGCTTGTTTTGGGGTTAGTTTTGAAATGTTGTGAGAAGTGTAATGTGAAAGTTATGGCATGGTGGTCGGATGAGGGGCAGATGGAATGGTCGATCCTCCAGCCGTCAACGTAACAGGCAATATTGTCACTGACGATGGTAAGGTCAACAATAGAGCCCCTAATTCGGCCGAGGGCCACGCTCTCGTATGTATGTGAGGTTCCCGTATTGAGTACGACGATATTATTCGTGTGTAGGAGGTCTACTATTTCCTCTCCTCTTTGATTGTTGGATGTTGACCCCCACATACGGTGCCACCCGTTGAAGTCGCCGGCAATGATGTGTGCGGCGTCTCGAGTATCGTTAAGTAATGCTTGTAGTTTATTCAGTGTGCTGTTTGTATCTATGTTGGGTTCTATGTATATACATGTTAGAATTAATCTTTTGCCTTGTTTGGTTGTCAACTGTACAGAGCATAGGTTGGGTGTAGAATATTGTGAGAGGCCTAGTGCGGTTCCTATATTGTTTTTGGTTAGAATACAAGCCTTGGTGTGTGTGTTATTTGGATATTGGTGTGTGATATATCCTGCTGTATTTTTCATGGTAGGTTGGCTCCCGACGTATGGCTCATTTATAAAGATTAAGTCGGTGTTGTTTTGTAGAGTATGGTTTATTAATTCATGCGTAGCAGCGTATCCGCGCCCCAGGTTAGCTTGCGTGAGTGTGAGTGTCGGTGATGGGTTTTTCTGCCTTTGAGGTCTATTCTGAATGGTGTGACGGGTGGGTGGAGTATTAATATGGGTTGGAGTGTGAGTGTTAGGGTGTCCATGTGTGTAAGTAGTGTGTGTGTTATTGTTATTGTTGTGATGAATGTTATACATAAGAGCGTATTAACTTACTGTATTTTGTACACAGTTATACATAACAAATAAAAGAAACTTATTAATTAGTTTAGTCGAAACAATTACGCGATAATATGAAATAGTTAATTTATGATCCTGCGGCACAAAGAATTATTGCTATCCGTTAAGGGAGCTCACACACTGAATGGTAATTGGCGGAAGTCTATTGATCCTGATGGCTGTTGTGATGTTGATGGTGGTATACCTGTTCCGTAGTCAATAGTCTCTTCAATTTTTTCCTTGGTGAGGCGTATTCTAGGACAGGCAGCTTGGTTGTTGGCGGCGTGATTAGTGGGTAATTTACTTCCTGTTTTGCTGTTATATTTTGTGCAGTTGTAGCAAACGAACTGTTTGTTTGTCTTGTGGGGGCACTCAGCTGCTTGGTGGTTCTCGTCGGCGCAGACGGCGCAAGGGTGGATAGTCGCTGTGCACTTATTTTGTGAGTGTCCGAACTGGAGGCACTTTCTGCACTGCGTGAATCTCGAAAAGGGTTCTATGTGAACTTGTTGGAAGTTAACTGCTACTCTGTTTTGTTGGATTAATTTATGATATGCTGTTGGGGTTAATTCAACAACTGCGTTGTAAAGTTTTTCAGATCTATTGCTGGTAAGAAAACAGAGGCGGATATCAGGGATGGGAATGGAGTTTTGTTGGCAGATTATTTTAGTTAGTTCTTCTTTGTTGGTTTCCTTGTATATGCCCTTGAGGATGGCAAGTGGCGGACGACGTCTAGCTTCTTCTGCCTTCAGATTACTTGTTTGGTTGATGAGTTGCTGAGTTTCCTTTTGTTGTTGAGTGGTGTTAAATTCCAGGTATACCCTTCCTCTGGTTATAGGTTGGATCTTGGATGGAGCGTAGGTTTTGTCTTTAAATGTAATCTGGGTCTTTAGTTCCTCAATAGTACTTTGATTGTTGGTTGTGGATGGGGATGAGGATGCAGATGTTCGTGTGGCTGCGTTAATTATGAGTGCTGGTTTCTTTGTGAACTGGGCTCTTGTGACACTGGCGTAGCTGGCGCCGGTGGTAGTTGTAGGTTGAGCGGGAGATTGTTGTTTATTAGAATGTTTTAGAGTAGTTATAATTGTGGTGTGTATCTCATGTATTAGTTCCTTTTTGAGTTGGTCTAAGGCTTCTTCAGGAAACACAGTTGGTTGACAAGAGTTGGCGGTAACAGTAGCGGAAGGAGTGTTTTGACAGGTGGTGATGATGTCGTCAGCGGCTTCCTTTATTATTCTTTTATTGGCAGCTGATACAGTCTTTCCTTCGCTTATCGCCAAGATAATGTTACGAGCCAGTTGTATAATCTTATCCCCCATTATGCACAACACCTGTTATGCTTTGCGCCCCCTATTATCGTATTTATGATACTGTTGACAATCTTTATCGCAGTCTGTTGTCGAATCTTTCCAGGTTGTCAAATAGACGAAGTAGTTCTCGTATGTTCTCAAAGATGGCAGAACTCTATTTTTGTAGTGCCAACTCATGTAGTGCCCTCTAGCGAGGTTATATTGCACTTCTTGCCCAAATAATGATTAGCTACTCGATCCGCGCTTTTTAGTCTGTGGCACGATTTGGCACTTAATTTGAAATTTTTAAAAAAATTTTCTCTAACCGTTACTTTGCTGTTTTATATACTAATGCACTTTTTTATGTAAACACTTATAACTTCTAAGTTCGTATAAAAGTTAGTAACTATTGAGAAAGTTCACTATTGTAAAATACCATTTTGTTTTAGGACAGTTTATGATCGTTACCATTAGATGTTATTTTTGTTTTTAATATTTTAGTCACTAAATGTTTTCACAACACTGAGATAACGTTAGTTAATGTTTATCGGCAATTAAAGTTTTCATATATCACTATGTCGTTCCCGTTACATTAAATTAACTATTTTTTAGCAAATTATAATCACGGAGCACTTGTTTACACGGCAAGTGGCGCCATCCCGAGTTTTGATATTGTTCACCCAAATATATTGGCCCAACCGCTTATGGACAACAGTTTGAAAATCGGTAGGCTAAAGCTCAGAATCCTCAGGATGTGCTGTGATAAGAGCACATTATAACTAGAACAGGGTACGGCATTGGTCGCATCCCTGCACACGACTTACAATTTATGCCCAATCTATCGCTTAATGTCCTGATAAAGAGACAGATTGCTGTATTAAAGATGAACAAAAAAAAAAAAACTACAGTTTTGGTGATGGAAATTATTAAAACAATGTATCAACCACACAAAAACAGTAAAAAAAGGAAAAAAATAAGAAGAAAATTAAAAAAAAATGTATTGGGCAAAATTTCGGCAATTTTTATAAAAAGTCTAATATCTTGAAAATGGTTAGGTTTGGGATATGTTATTTCATAATGAAACCTATCAGAAAATATGGCAACAACAACCCCTTAAAGTATTTATTTACAACTTTATGCACTTGTGTACAACGGCGGGATTAATGTCCAAGGCATTCTCTACCAGCCAACTGAGTAGAACTGTACTGAGAAGAAGTATATAGGTCGACTTAACCTATAACCCCATACATTGAAGTTTGTGATAGCTTTTTAATGAATACGAAATATAATAACCATGTTGCCATAATACAAAAAAATTTGGTGTTACTTTGTTTAAACTTTCTTCTAATAAGCAATAAAGTCAACAAAATTCATTATTTACTAGATAATTATTTTTCATTTAAACAAACAAGTATTATACAAATGAGGAATGTGATAATTAATATTGCATTGGGCTTATCGTAATTTATGATGTGTTATACACTGGAAGATTAATTGTAAATTAATAGGTTTTTTATGATGCAGACATTTGTTTTCATGATGTAACTACCTACTTAAAACATCGAGTTTGTATATTATATTGAGTGAAAAATGTTTAATGTGATGTTGAAAATGTATTTCTTTTATTACAAATATCTTGAGCAAGTTAGGGTTAGACGGGCTTTTGCTGAGAAAACTAAACCTTTTAACAATTGTACATCTTCCATTATCCAGGTAATAATAATATATCGCAGCAAATAAAAATAACACAAACCTATGGCAGGAATGCTGCCTGAGCGTTGTTGCTCATCAGTGACGCTAGTCGCAGATGCGGCCGCAGATGCAGTCGCTGACGCGGGTGCTGATCCTACCTGCTGTTCTGACATTATCTGTAATTAAAATTGCATATTTGGTAAAAATTTATGGCAGATTTGTAATGCTAGTGTATGTAAATTCATCAATACAGATAAAGAAAATCTAGAAAACTTACTATACTCTTGATATGAACTTGCTAATAGTAATGTAGTAACTGACACATACAATCCATACTAACTGGCACATACTGTTAAAAATATATGTCAATATAAACTAATTGTAACTTTTTAGTAACTACTAATCCTGTATAAATGCCAAGGACAGGCACAGCCGCAGCCCACCAGGCATGCACGATACAACAATTTTCTTTTAAACTCCTACACCTTAGGAAAAACAAAGTGTTATGTATTGCTTGTATCTAGTAGCTCTTTCCTACCACCTTTAAGGTGGCAAAGAAGCACTTGACTGAAAAGACTGGATAAACATCAAACAATGTTTTCAGTCATCTACAGCCTATAATAGTACACTGCTGTACATAGACCTCTTCTAAGATAGGAGGATCCCGCATTTGCTCAGAGTTTGCTCCCTTAGTCTTTTCTTGTGACACCCACGGGATGAACAGGGGTTGGTGACACTCCATATTCTTAATCTGTCACCACTTTGACAACTTCTTTTACATGGACATTTATTAAAACATTAATAACAGAAAACCTTATATTTAAATTCACTACAAGATTTACTATGTATAATGCATAGTAAAGCCTCCCATTCCTGTACGCTTAGATCTTTCAAACTACACAACCTATTTTAATGCAAGTTTTATCAATAAAGACAGTGATTTAAGAGGAAGGTTTTTATGTATTATACATGCATATTATTATATGGCACCTGTGCTAAGCCAGGTTGGTTTGCAAGTTCTGTATAAAAATACCCAACTCAGAATAATAATAGTAGTACAGCAGTGGGTATTGTTAAGCACGCAATCCTAATGCTAGGTCCCCAAACCTCAATAAGCCTTAAGCTTGTTTACCTTGATTTTTGTGGAGGTTGTGTGTTGGTCTTTCTAAAGTCCAATGTTTTAGCCTACACAATCTTGACATCCATCATCTATGTTGTGTGTGCTAGTAATTCTGTATGTGCTTTAGACAAATTAACAACAGTGGGCAGATTAATTAATTAAATTTAGCAGAGCACGTAATCTTCGTATTGCTAAAGGTTATTATATGCTAAGGGTACCTATGTTGTGTTATAAAGCTATTACTAATCAACCATATTTGGTGACACAACAAAAATTACTTCATAAAATAAAAGTAGTAAAGTTATTTCGGACACAATCATAAATACATTTTCAATCAATAACGAAGGAGCTTCATGACACCACGAAAGATACAGAATGTTTATTTGACAAAACTAAACAAAACCCTTTATTTTACCATTCTATTCTATATATAGAAGTGATAAAGTACGCAGTGCACTACCACCAGCAAGAAATGCGATTATCTTCAATATAGGTAAAAATAAAAAGATTATACAAAGATTTTATAAGATTAGTAAATGAAATATTTATTTCAAAAAATATCAAGTTTAATTGCTCGCATGATTTTAAATGTACATGCATAAAAAATCTCACCTTTTTTATTTTACGGCTTCAAAATCAGATATAGTAAATATACAACAGCTGTTTTACTATATTTTACAAAAATAATAATTGACTGAAAGTTAGGTTATCAAAGTAAAAGAGTACAGTAAACGAATCACCTTTTTTGACGCATCACGTCATAGATTAGAGCATAGGGCTTTGTGGACTACAAAGACTTTAAAAGGACTTTTCCAATAAATTATTCATTGTAACCTATGTTATTAAAAGTAATATTTTTTAAATAAGTAATAACAGATGTGCTTTAATAATAGACTTGAATATATAAAGTTTTAAACTGCTGATTATCCTCTATTTTTCTTCGTCAGTCACGACACCAACCAATTATTTAAATGATAAACATAGATGCCATAAAACAAAATAAATCTAACAACAATAGTCCTAATGTATCAGTTTCTGAAAGTAATAAATTACACTGTGCAAGACCGAAAATTTACTTGGTTTTGAAACCAACTATTGCAATGTAATCTACCCTTATCCCTGAATTGTGTTAGAATTTTTTATTATGATGAGCAGCTCAATCTCAGGCCGTTTTATCATCGAGATACTCTGCAATGGTATAATACCCTTTTCAGATAACTTAGACTTCACAGTATTTTCAAATTTGCGCAAGGGTTATATCGAAATCATCAATAATGCTTACCGTAATGTGCTACAAGAATTCAACCCGTTAGCTTCACGGAAACAATGAGGCCGGCTCCTCGGAAAGTTTTTTGAGGATCTGGTCGTACGATCAACGATTGTTATTTCGGTGAAACAAGAATTACAGGTTATTAAACAAAAACAGGCTATTTAATATGCAAAATGTCATTTGCCGACCCATTTCTTCACAATTTCGACCTAAATCCAAACTACTACTAATGTATGAATATTACTATTCATACATTAGTAGTAGTTAGGATAATGCTACCAGCTTTACACGAGTGACTGGTTTATGCAAACTTAATTTTGGGTACTTACGTTTATATAAATTTTTAAACTCTCAATATTTAAAAAAAACTTTTCTATTTCTTTTTGTCTAGATTAATTTAAGAATTAAATAAATATATATTGTGTCTGAGGAGTTTTCTCCTCAGTCATTATTATGTGGCTAATCGTTTCACAAAGAGATAAATATGGAGAAACGTTGGCATCATATTGCATTTTAGGTACATACTGTGTGTGTGTGTGTTTATCACGCACTCCTAATTAGGAATGTTAATAACTTCTTACTATACTGCACCTTCCTATATTGAAAACAGTTTTTTTTTAATTAGACTAAAAGTTGAGTAAAATTTGGTAAAACAAAATTACAATTATGATTGTGATTGTGACTGTTTTTACTTTGTCCCTGGTTGTATACCAGGGACAAAGTAAAAACAGTCACAATTTCACAAACGAACTGCTATTTAATAGTAGTTGCTGGTGGCTCGATTACACGGACAGAGGACGGGACAGATATTTTATTCCATCCGACATTGTTTTCAGCCGTAAAGGGGCGACATCTCAATGTACCTAGAGGTATTATAGAAAGTTTCAACAGAAGGGGAGGACTGCCTAATTATATTTGGACAAAACTAATCTGTTCTTTTAATTAGGTTACGTTTAATTGTTACTACCACGAATTAGAATTAATTATATGTTTACCGTTGTTATGAACTTAAATTACTTTGCAAATAGAATAGGCAATAAGTATGATAGAAAAGTGTGTTTAGGAATTCAGATGAATTTGTTACCACGGTTATATAAACTCGAAGGTTTTACTAGTAGCCACTAAACAGTTCTCTTATACACTTCCTGGCTACATCATCAGATCAGTATAATATTATTTCGGGTCCCCTTCTATATCAGAGCTGAATCTACACACAGCGTTTGGTTTTAGGGCGATTGCATACTTTTATACTACCTCACAACTGAAAATTCTGTTTCTGGTGGTCATTCACAGACACAAGACGAAGAATTCTAATTTTTTCCTAAACAAAAACTGTTAGTGTTTATTCTTACAGAAATATTAGCCAGCTCTATATCCAATTCGATTTAGTACTGTGCCATTATCAATCAGTCAATGTAGATAAAATGTAGGGCATATCATATCACACCAATATTTTTTTAAATGTGATGACTGCACGTATACTGAGATTTTGCGTTCCAGGACCTTGCTATGGAAATAATAGAGCATAACAAATTACTTCAAAATAGGAAAAAGAAAACATTAAACTGTTGAATTACTATCTACTGTAGTTACTGTATTATAAAAACATTATTTGTTTAAAGAAAATTATATTTATTCAAATTTTAATAATGGTTTCGATGATAGTTTTTTAAAAATTATTGTAATGTAGTGGTTCTGAAAGCACTCAATGTAGGTCAATGGACCACAGCTGACGATTCGGCGGACTTTTTTTGACATGGCTTTTGGCTTCATTTCATTATTTTGACATTTCGTGATTTCGATGTCAAGCGCTACGTATTTCTCTATAAAAAGTAATTTTTTCATCTTTTTTCATTCTATAACTAGTTTTTTAAATTGAATACGATCTGAGGAACGCGTGTGCAACCCATCGAGATACTGAAAGCGATTGTGAAGCTGTGAAATTCCGCGAGAACCATGTGACACGAATACGAAAAAGGGCTTCCAGACCGTCAATGTGACAGAAATGTTTTCTGCCATCACGACGAGCCAGGGCCAACGCGGAGCCGATACAAGCACGACGCGTGTTAAACAAACGGCGATATAGGTAAAGCGCGTCAAAAATGTCCGCGAGATGGCCAGCCCGCCACCGAACCCTAACGAAGGCGAGGAGGGCGGCTCCGAGTTCAAAGAGGAGCCGAGCGGGGAACGCGCGGCCTCCCCGCAGAAGACATTCATAGCGCCGCCAGCATCGCAGCTACCTACGAAGCTGCAATACGTGACGCTTGGCGCCTCCGGTCCCAGCGGCATCAAGCAGTTGTTCCGTACGGTAAAGGTTGCTCGTCGTGTGCCCACGCTGCCGCGCAGAACGAGGGAAGGTGAGGGCGGCGCTGGGCCTTCGGCGCCGCCCGCGCCTGAATCCCGCACGCGCCGCGATCATACTAAGCGTCATGTTTGTGACACTTGCGACAAACGTTTCTCAAGCCCTGGTAAGCTCAGCCAACATGTCCTCTCCCACACCGGTGAGCTACCTTTCTCCTGTGATTTGTGCGACAAGCGTTTCAATTCCAAGTTCAAGCTTGTACGTCATAATCTTATACACAGTGAGGCTCGAGCCTTCGCATGTGCTGTATGCAATAAGACATTTAATCGTAAGGATCACCTCACTAATCATGTTAGAGTGCACAATCCAGTAAAAAAGCTGTACACCTGTGAAAGGCCAGATTGCAGGAAATCTTACACATCTCATTTGAGTTATCGCAAACATGCTGCCTTGCATTCAGCTGAGGAAGGCAACCTACAGTGTAAAATTTGTGATATGAGTTTTGCTACACAGCAGGAAATAGTTTATCATCTAAAAGTTCACACAGGTAGTCGTACCGTAAAAAATGATTCAGATAAAAAGTTTACATGCAATTACTGTGGTCGAAAATTCTTTACTGCAAAGGATGTAAGGCGGCACCAAGTTGTGCATACAGGCAGGCGTGATTTTCTGTGTCCTTACTGTCCCCAAAAGTTTGGACGTAAAGATCACCTGGTAAGGCATGTTAAAAATGCTCATCCTGATGAGTCATGGAAATCAGCTGCTGTTGGAACATCAAGTGAGCCGCCTCCAGAGGCCTCAGCATTTGAGGAAACTTACACTGAATACCCAATAGAGGGGACAGATTTTGAAATTTGGAATCCACCTTCACCTAAAGAGAGTACATCAGAAGGGGGTCCAACAAGGGTGCCTTCTACAGATATCATAGTAGAAATTGCACCGGAACTTGATATAAAAGTGGAACCTATAGATATTAAGCTAGAGGAACCAATAATACCAGATATTAAACTGGAGGAGCCAGAGGCTCCAAGTTGCTCTTTGATACCTGTTGAGTACCCAATGATGTATGTAGTGGCTCCACCTTATTCTGAGACACCACCTGACTTACCTTACATAACAACAGAGGAGCTGTCTGATCCAATACAAGCACATTTGCTTCACCAGGCGAATGTAGAGTCCTTGTTGATGAATCCGGGTGAGGGTCCCTCTGGGTTGTCAAGCCAAATGCTAGGTCTACTGGAGGAAAGTGAACCTACGTATACAGGTGATGAAGGCCGTGTACAACAGCGACTGCCAGCATTCACGCAGGCTTTCCAGACAGCACAGAGCCCAAAGCCACCTCCGCCGCCACCCCCGCCACACTAACCTCGCCGCACTCATGCCCTTAATGCCATTTAGATGAAAATGTTATCTATAAATTATGGATAGATAGCATTTAATACTGAGAAGAGGATTTCTTCTGAGTCAAATATGATTTGAATTAAATGGTAGGTGGTGAAAGAGGGTTTTAAGGTGAGATTTCTGCATTTAGCTTATGTGAATACTGAACTACCTCATTAGGTAAGGTTGATCTAAACTGTAAATAGTCGAGTTGAGTGCAGTTAGTAATTCGAATTGTAATTTTTTGGACTTCATTTATTTTCACCTTTTAAAAAATAGGTACATAGCTGGAGGATGTGGATTCTTCAGCTTAAATTGCCAAAATTGTATATTTGTATGTCTCAGGTATACCAAAATTACTTCCGAATTCTACATGAATATGTGATCTAGTCGTGTATGTACTTTCGGAATTATCTAATTTTATTTATAGCGTACATGTATGACGTTTATGGAGTATAATTGGGACCAACTCTGTGAGCTGTTAGATGGAATACAGTTAGTGCTTAGTTGAGATATGGTCGCTTGCGACATTTGTGTAGTAAGCAGAATACAAACAGGGTGTATGGCTCTTGGAAGCAGTAGGCTATTATAATATGTTTTAGAGAGGCTTGCTGCTTTTGACGTGATCTTATAATACAACAGAGAGCATATTCCTTGCAAATCAATAAGGTGAATGTAATATTCTGCTGGAGTAGAATAACATCAGATCTGTCTTTAACAAGATTGTAATATCATCTTTATGTGTAAGTGCTAAGTGTTCATAACAGAGTTATACAATCAAGGCTTTATAAATTGTATGAATAGGGTTCCATTTCGTTCTATTATACAGAATGATATTGAAGTCCTTAAAATTTATCAGGCTTGAGCTAGAAACAAAAGGCAATAAAACGATCAATATACCTCAGAGGCACTTGTGCTTCCTTATAGAATAATATATAATCAATACTAATTGAGTGTGTCTAATGAGCAAACTGGATGAATTCGTGTTGATAGGTAATGTACAGTCTAAAATTGTGCCAAAAGTGATAGAATTGTTGTTCTGTGTATCTTTGACTATTACAAAGATCCTAATTGCCAAATTCCGAATTCCATTAGCTCGTTAGGCTCGCGTATGCAGGATTTTCATAATTTTAACGATCATTCATGACAGCTACCTTCCACTGTTGGTTTAAAAATCATAAAGAGAAAATTTCAAACTTTACTCCAGAGGAATAATGTTCTTGGCATATGTTTTAGAATAATGAGCCAAATTATGTAATTTGTTTAGTGATGTATATGAGAGTGTCAGATTGTTGATGTTACATCAGTGAGAATCCCATCGCTTTTGGGTTAAATGGTAGGACATTATAGTTGGTATTAGGTGCCTTACATTTTTTAACAGACAGTATAAATGGTACAACTTGATTTATAACAATTTAATAACAACCAGACAAGAAACAATTACCTATTATTACTTTTGGCATGTTTTTTTTACATATTGCAAATACCCACATTTTTAGTTTAAAAGGAGAGATAATTTTTCAATTTGAACAACAGTTTAAAACGTTGAAATGTCGATTTAAATACAGATCATAATTTTTCCTATTTTTTGTCCTTATTTCAAATGTTATGTTACAAGTTGTACGATTGTTTAAATAACTTGCTCATGGAGCGCTATCGCGATTAATTTAGGGATATAGACTTTTCTGGGTTAAAAAAAAACAGCTTGCTGTCATTCTAGTCCAGATTAGAAATTCTTAAGATTTCAAAATAATTTCACTAAACTCGTTTAGATATGACTAATCAGGGAACACTTCACTCCGGAGTAGAATTTTAATCAATATTGCGAACATCTAAGGTCTTCTTTCATATTCATTTTTTAATATTATGTAGTCATTGCAGGTTCGAATTCGGATTGCTCTATGTAAACCTACGCAGAGAGGTGCAGTAGTACATGTCAGAGGAAAGATCATTCCATAAATTGTAACACGAAACGAACTCTTCTTATAGTTCAAGTTCCCAATTTGGTTCTTGATTTTGCTAAAGCCATCATGCTTTAAAAATCTGCAACGACATTTCTGCAAAGTCCACAGAAAGTCCAATTCATGTCGTCATTTCCAATAGGTCGTATATTGTTGTATCTATGCCAATAAAGGAGTCTACAGACCAAACCCGCCGACAGTTGACTTCTTTGTCGGCGACTTCACATCTCGTTGAAGTAGAAAAACTTTGGCGGCGACACGAAATCAGTAACTTTTTTGGTAGTTAAATGTCGGCTGGCAAATGAGCGCGTACGTAAGATATGTCATGATATGCGTAGATATGCCGCCGACATGGTGCCACAAGACGCCGAGTGACAGGAGCGGGTACAAGTCGCCGACATGATTCTTTTGAAATAAAGTCGCCTCCATCAAGCCGGACTGTGTCGGCGGGTTTGGTGTGTAGACTGCATTAGTACTAGAACCAACCGAGAAATTATGACTGTTTACTTTTTCTTCTCCTTTACTTATCCTTTTCGTAACTTGCATGTTACTGTTGTTTTTTGTAAATCAAATGTACTATTAATTTCTTTGGGACAAATACGTTTTCGAAAGACTGACTTAAAATACAATCCTTCAAAGTCCCAGTTATAGTCCTGGTCAAAGCAGTAAATCATGTTCTTCGCTTTCTGTTACCGGTGCACAGGCCTAGCTAATTGTAGTGCGAGTACCAAAATACATGTAAGGTGGCACCTGACACAGCCACTCACTTCGGCAGATTGTTTGACCATAATTATTAACGTTTTGCCTCGATATTTTCTTTATTACGATAAATTCGAGCCATTCTATCCCAGACATTCTTGGTAGCAAAATTTGCTAATCAACAAAATTGACAGTTTACAGACTACAATCCATCACATTCATCACCAATTCTTAAACATTTATCGTCGGTCGGAAAAACCGGATAATTTGGATGGATGTATAACAAAGCTTTTTAAGTTTTTCAAGTATACCTATGAGACGTATACATTCACATTCTCTATACTAATAGTTCTAGTTGGATTTAATATTTTTATTCAAATGTAAACTAGTAGCAAGAACTAAAGAATAAGTAAATAGTATAATAAGTGCATAGATACAATTGAAAGACCTATTAGAATTACTCTTATAAACTAGATGTCCTTTATTGTTACTGCACAAACTATCTTAATCGCGTTGAAAGGAGAAAGGATTATATTGAATATTTTATGTCAAGAGCTACTCAGATTGTAAGTACTTAAAAGATGTTAATTAGATCTGTTTAGTGTATTTTTTTAGGTGCGAGAAATGCATAGATATCTCCATTATAGTATTGTAAGAGAACATTATTATTGGACCCTAGTCCCAGATTCGATCCAAAGGATTTATTATATCTATAGTGTTTGCTGGTCCGTCACCTTACATGTAAATCCATCATCACTTATAGTTTGAGAGAGAGACAAAAAGATTTTGCGGGACAAGGGCCGTGCTTATGAAATCCTTTACAATACAATTTGCAGGGATTAATTAAATAAGGGCAGTTTAGAAACTCTTTAGAATTTAGAAAAATAATGTTTCTGCGCATTGCGGATATCTTATTAAAGAGCACTTTCTTGGGCTATACGCAAAAAAATACCGGATTGCGTTTTAAGTACTTTTGCGACTTCAAGAGATTTTGTATCTCATAATATATTATTTATATATAATATCAAATTCTGGTTTTCTAATTAGACAGTTGAGATAACACGGGGCTTGGTTACGCGTTCTCATGACTAAATGTTGCGACTAATGATTTGAAGTGTTAGAATACGATAGCGCTCTAGAGCACTCTCAAAGGAAGTCTCATTTCTGGCACTTTAACATGTTTTAAGTAAATGTTAGATTAAATATTTTTCGGTAATATGAAGGTTTTAATAATAATAATGGTCAATGTTTGGCGTCTAGTAGTGCAAGGAAAGCATAAGGTGAGATAACGTTGTACACGCTTGTTAAGTAGTAGTATGTTATGTGAATAATTCTAATCTATTAGGTTAATAGGACTGTAAAAAATTTAATCTACCTCAATGCAACTTATTCTTACTTCTAGAATTTAATTGTACTATGTTAGGTTAGTGAGAAAGTTAGGTTTTTTTCTATTTGAGAATTACATAACCAGAGAGTTTTGGTTGATCAAAAATAACACCATGTTGTCTTAATTTAATGTAAGTGTGTGCTGCATATCGAAATCTTTATTGATATACAAGTTAAATATGTATGATTATTTTTAATTTTGCTTTTTATTTTATTATGCTCTGTAAGAGTTGCCTTTGGATTCAATGTTGAATGAATACATTTAAAGTTCAGTAAACATTTAAAAGATCTGGAATTTTAAACTTAATGCAAGAAAAAAATAAAAATAAAAAAAAGTAATATGTAATAATGTTAGGACCTTTCCTATCGCACATTTGGTATAAGTAAAATAAGAAATTTTATATATTTTGTATATCGATGATTATACATATTTCTTTAATGCAGATATCAGAAAAGATTTCCGCGAAAATGTTTTTTATGTATACATTTTTTTTGCGAAACTGTTAATTTTTAAGATTTTCGATTGTTGTATGTATTTGTAAAAATCATTTTTGCTAAATCCTTCCCGAGGTTGTAGACTGAAAATAACTTCAACTTTCTGTTCCTACAGAATTCATATAATATGGCCGTGGTTGGTGGTGTTCTGAGAGATATATTAAAGGCATAGATCTTGATTTACAATTTCATCTCTTCCGCAGATGTTGATGTTGTATAGAAAAAACTCAATAGAATTTAATAGCAAGTAACTACTACAAAATTTGAAAACCATGGCCATAGTTATAATGCCGATTTTATTTTATCAGTCTATACCCTTATACCACTAGTCATATACAATAGCAGTACATTATATTCTCAAATAGGGCAGTTATTGAGTGATATTTAGCAATCCGAAATACAATAGAATTAACAAAAATCGGTGCAAACCACTAAGTACAAAAT